GACAAAAAGAGTGACAAACAGCACGAGTCGAGCATAAATAATTCAACGCAGACCACCGTGAAACCCGTATCGGGCGCAGCGTCGGTTAATTCGAAACAGTTGTCGTCGCAGAAGCCGCTAGAATCGAAGAGAAATTCAGATAAACCGAGAAACTCCTGAAATTTAACCGAAGATTCTATTTAGTTGCGTTTTTATTCTTTGTTGATCTGTTTCACTCAGATTTAATACACTTGTCTATTTAGAGGCTATAAATTCGTGCATATTCTAAAACACTATAGTTCTATCTGTTTCGATTCCTCGAATTAATTTCGCGAGATATTTGCTTCGAAAATATTGTGAAATTGTGTTTTAGAATTAATTCGTTGTTTTATTTATTTTTCTGTACATCGTTCGTACTGATTTTTTTATTATTTTTCATTGATTATTGACGACGTTAGCGATGTACTGTCTGTTAATAAGTTTTCTTTATTATGGAAAGAGGTACTCGTCTTACCACGCATCGAAGTCTCCCGAGCGACGTTGTCGATAAGTTTCCTTTATTATGAAAAGAGGTACTCGTCTTACCACGCATCGAAGTCTCTCGAGCGACGTTGGTACTGATATATACTTTCACGACTTAATCGTATAAAATCCAGCCATATTAGCGATTTAAAGTCTTCCCCGGGTGCTCCCTCGTGAATGTCGAAAATTGGGGCTTTTTGTCTTGAGAACTGGCACGGATAAACTGTTTCGTTTTATCCTTTACGATTGCTCCGCCACATTGTAATTCGTTTAAATGGTGGCAAGCTCACATCGTTAAGATGCTTGCTCAACTGTCGCGGGAGTTCTTATTTTCTGTAGATAATTGTACTTTCAAGATAATTGTTTTCTCCATTCTCCATCTCCGTAAACGCGCCTTCGGGGAAGACGCGATCGTACCTTCGAGTAACTTTATTTGGAAGCAAGAGAGCGAGAGCGAAACCTCGACGAGCAAAAGTCACGTAGTCGGTTTAGCGTATTAACGAATAAACAATTTTCATTTTCGTGACAGTCACGGCATTGTAATCGTACACTTGATTTTTACGATTCTTCACCCGTCGTTTGTTCGCGTAAAAGTAAACGTCGAGTTTTTCTTCCTCCACTTTTCGTTTCAGCGGCAATTTTCACTACTAATTGGCACCGCGAGCAGGGAATTGAGCTGTTAGCGTGGAATGTGCGTTGGGATTAACGAGAACGCGTCCGACGACTATCGGGACGATGACTGATAATCTACGAAAGCTCGCGTGCGATTCGCGACTCGTTTGATAAGAGTATGCGTGGATAATAATAGAAAGCGAACATGTTTTTATCTAATTCGGATGCGGTTGAATGATGTGGTTCTCGTGCGGGAGCCGGTTCGCGAATCTCGTTCCTTAAAACCACTTTCTTCGTTTGTACAACTGTTTCTTGGTTTTATTGAGGAATGTTGCTTATTTACGATTAGAGGGATACGATTAAAATATTTCTGCAGTTTCTCGATCTGCAATTTAATCAATAAAGGTACTTAACCACACCTGTTATTTCTATTTTAATAAAAAGAACCCTTTGAAGTACTATTAATAGCGTTAGAGTTACTTCTTCAAAATGCTACAATTTTATCAAATTACATTTCCCATTCCAATAGGCACTATCATGCTCATATACTTTAATAATTTCTTTATTTCATGCATTTTTTTTACGCTATTAAACATGAAAATTAAAAATACCCAAAATATTTATTCCCAAGACATAAAAAAAAATTCACACAGTACACATAGAATCTAGAAATTAAACTTTCCGTTAAAAATATTCTAACAGTCATCCTAATAACGGTGTTCTTAATGAGAATCCTCGCTTAAGCAAGAAGTTAGGTCTTGTCTCTCAGTATTGACACCTGGACTTCAATGGCGCTACCTTCTCTGTTCCTTGTAGTGTTTATGGCTTCACTATGTCTCTTCTACCAAGTCTTTTTACAGGCTCTACGCGTTCCCTATCTTGCTTTCTATTCCTTCGACGACCCCTTTTTCAATTGCTCGCGTACGTGCCAGGAATGGAACGACATCGGACAGGCGGTTAGGCTTCTCGTCTCAAAGAACCGCAGGTGCAGCGGTTTCTGTCGCTTCCTGGATGCAGTCAGTTCTTCGGCTTCTTCTCAGCGGGGCACAAACGTTCCGGTTGTCAAGCATCGCCCCGCGAACGTAAAAACAAATACGCCTTGTCTCTTGCCGTCGTCGTCGACAATCTTCCAAGCTTTTGCCAGCGTTTCCCCTTAAAAGGTCGGTGCTAAGCAACGTTCCTTCCGTTTTATAATAATCACTCAAACGACTTTTCAAACGCGTGATTTCCAGACTCAGAAGTTTCTCGTTTTTTTAAACGTGCGCCGCGGAAACTTCAGTGATTTAAATTGATTTCGATCGGACAGCAGACCGTGAAATATGGATCCGACAACGGCGGTGAGTGAAACGTGAGTGCAGTTTTCGATTAACTCGCGTTTACATAACGATACCGATCGGAATATAAATGGCGACGAATTTTCCACGATTTTAATCGTCGTTTATGAATCTCGTTACAGATTCGCAGAACCGTTCCGCTGGTTGCTCCTACGATTGCAGAATGGCATGAGTTCGCGTGCAAAACGCATTAAACTTCGGTGAAAAGTGAAAAGATACGTTGAACCGCCGTTGGATGCAGTTGTAGCAGCGCGGATCTCTGCACGCTGGGGGGAGTTTCTTGGAATACTTCTGCGAGGCGATTCGCCTGGGTAATTTCAGCTCCATGTATATAAAAGTTAGATTTGTTGCTGCACGCGCAGAAATCATCCATTTGTCGAGTGTGTTTCAGGAGTAAATGAACATCGTCTTCTGTCAAGATGAAGGGAAAGTTTTTGGTATAAGAACTTGTCGAACCTTTCGCGTTGCAATGTTATTAAATCATAGATACACTCCATCCATCTGGTCATAGAATTATTTAAAACATTTATATTCTTTTTTTTTTTATTTTAGTACGCCATTGCTTTGCTGGTGTTTCTCGTATTGCTGCATGAACCTGTGAACTCGTGAGTATACGGTTCCAATCCTATGGCAATCATTTTTTATTTAATTCGCATGTATCTTGATATAAATCTTGGCTCCCTGTTTGTAATTGCATTTGATGTTTCCAGTGATTGACGATAATTAATATTTCTTTGTTCGTTTTGTAGGAAAAAGGTGACCATTCACGTGCCTTATCGAGTGAAGAAGATGAAACACACGCACACGGTTTATATGGTGGTACCGAAGTACGAGAGCCATTATCAGGAAAAGGAGGACTCTGAAGACGACGACAAATACGATATTTAGTTAAACTAACGAAGAATTCGAGAAAATATTCTAATCGACGTAGAAATATAAATTACCACACAAAGAATAGTCATTAGGTTATACGAAATACGTTCGAATAATAGTGTATCTAGTGAGTTTATTAAAAACTAGATGTATATATCTTTAATACCAAAGTTAATAAAGTGTAGTGCGAAATGAATCTTAATGTGACAGTCTTTGTTAATTCTTTTACTTGTACTCAGATATATTTAAAATATTTCAATTCATTTCTACCGTTTAAAGAACGTAACATAAATAAAACCGAGACGAAGGAATATACTACGATGAGTGCATCTGATAATTCGAAATATAATTAGCAGACGCTATCTGTACATCTGTATCTGTAATTAACAAACGATTTGACAGGCAATTTTCATTTTAACGATATCACGCTGTGATACTTATGCATTAGTAATTTTATCTTCTTGTTGATCATGATTAATAGAGTGTTAAAAAGAATTGCAAGTAAAAAAATGGTTTAATTATGCTTATTTACGCCGAAATGAAATTAAAACTTTTGTAGGTATTAATTCTTATATTTGCCTTTCATATTTTGTGATATTATGTTTTTATTGATACTTTTTGTATGTAGCATTGTGTAAAATATACTTTCGTTCATCTGAAAGAATTATAAACATTTACTATACTTCTGGGAAACAGTACGATTAGTCTTATTTGTGAGTTTAAAAAAAGATTGATATTCTTCTTACTGCGTTAATGCTTTTGAAAATGCGTTACTATTATCTTAAGCATTAAAGTTAAATAAATCTCATAGTCGATGTTCCTTTATTCTAAATTTCCATTATTCTACGCAAATTATGTTTGATGTCAATCAGTATTGATTACGAAACAACAATATTTATTCATTTAAGAAATAGAAAGAGACTTTTATTATGAAAAAAATAGATTTTTCATCTCTCACTTCGATTATTTTCATTCCTGTGTAACATATTTTCAAATGTTTAAGTTTTACAAATTACATTCTTTCGTCTGAGAAAGGACGTTTCGACTAACAATAAGAATAATAAATAGTCTAATACGTGTCTGTAGGTACCCATGGGACGTATTTCAAGCTCTGTTTAAAAAAATAATTGGGATAAAATAACATTTAATTTCATCAAAAATTTCAATTCCTTTAGGAATTTTTTTCTCGACAGTGGGAAGGATTTTGGGGGTATTTTTGCTCCTAATATGATTGTACTTGACCCCCGCAAGCAAAAGTACTTGTTTCAGAACAAATTGAAATTTTTTTTTTTTTCGAAAAATCTCTGGCACCAGCCCCTGTCGATTTTTCTGAAAAATTCGATTTTCATTTTTGACAATTTTATTTGTCGATTTACAAATAATAATTCCTTAAAGAAGACCAGTCACCTTCTTATTTGGAACGAAAGTGTCAGTCATATTTTCTCAAATGCTTTTCAATTTCCTGGTGGCAATGAACTTCAGTGACTTCGTAGACACGTTTTTCCAGAGCATATCATTGGCGGCGGGTTGGCAGATCGTGCATATCTCGTTGTAATGGCGAAAGTGCTCGGTCAGCCGTTAAATATCCCAGGTTTTGATCGCAGGTTCCACGGCGTTCGCTATGGTAACGATAGACCGACGACAATTGAGGCGGAATATAAAGGAGGAGCATCCTCGACAATGTCAAACGACATTGAACTGTTGCTGGTATCACTTGTCACTCCTCACTAGTACTTGGAACATCTTCGTTCGAAGTCATGGTAAAATGGTTGATTATATCTTGCAATGTTCCCTTGGAAATCAAACAATTTTTGTATTCATCTTTCCATAATTTTCATTTAAAGGAATTACTTCATTTTTTGCAGAAGATCTCCTGCTACCTCCTCCTTGCTCTGCTGATCCAAATCACGAGCTACGGAAGTGCCAATAAGAGACGGTAAGCACCTGACATTAAATTTCCTTTTCACGTCTTCAGCACTTGTTATGTCTCTATATAAATAATTCACGGTAGAACGAAAGAATGAGATAAGTGGAAAGCGATACAACAATAAAAATGTTTCGATCAAATATCCTAATAGTAGTACATATGATCAACAATGTATTTGTTTGACAGAGTGCACTTGAAGATCCTCGTGCCAGACATCATCAAGCACCACATTCACACGAAGGTGGTGTTCGTGCATCTGCACAAGCCAGCATCCAAAAAGCCAAAGACCAACCACAAGGAGCATCACCAGGAGAACTGGAGCTCCTGGAGTTATGGTCGTCACCATGATTACAACGACGAGCACGAGTACGAGCACTCAGACGATCACGAGGATCAACATGATCGCGAAAAGGTGGAAACAGAGAAGCCTCAGACTCACAAAATCCGACAGAAGCTTCCTTCGTACCACAAAGATTCCTATTTTCCACAATCGTACGTCGAGGATAACAACGTGGAGCCTAATCCTGGTCGGCAGCATGGTCAGTACGCCGTTCACGAGGACGTGAACGACATTCCTCCTAACAGGGAAGTTTTGTCTTACAATTACGAGGAAGGGTACAAGAAGGGTTTAGAGACTGAGAGTGGACATATTCGAACTGGACAGACGAACAAGTTTCACGAGGATCAGCACGAGGAACAGGATGAAGCTGGGCACGATGGATTCAGGGAGGATTTCCACGAGAAAACCGACGCTGGAAGATACCTGGTCGACGACGTGGAGTACGAAAATACTAGGGACAAACGGGAGGGAGGTCGAAGACTTCGACGAATTAAAGGGGCGTAGATTTTTGGAAAATCAAATGTGTATATAGCTTTGTAGATAAATATTTTAATTATCGCGAGTGTCAACCTTTTCAGGGACGAGTTTATACTTATCGATACGCGTTATCTTTATAATATTTGAAAGATGAACAAGATAATGATATTGATATAAAAAGAAAGTATGGTTTACGAACACTTTTCTTTTGTTTAAAATATTATCGATATATAGTAGATTTTAGGCATTTATGACGCTTGCTATTGTGAAAAACACGTGCAAAATGTATGTAGATAAATATTTTATAAATTAATACAACAATACTAGTGTTTATTTTCCGTAAGAGTGAATAAAATGTTTATGATTGTGAATTTATACTGTAGAGATTGATTTGTGCAAATAAACTGAACTGATTGAATGAAGAAAGTTTCTTTTTTATGTGATGTGCCGTCACGTCGAAGTAAAATGTAATCGATAAATGAAAGAACATCGCATGGAATCGAAAACTTCAGGTACGCACGCAATTTATTCAACTTCCTCGCGACACGGGATACATACTAATAAATTACTCGTGCCGCGATACGGAAATAATGGAGACAACATTATAGTGATTTATAACAATAATATAAACAAGTAAACGGATAACAATATTTACATGTATCAGTACAAACGATTAATGAGAGACTAGGACGAGAGGTAAGAGACAGGGTGATTAAGTGTCGATGTGTCTAAGGTATGTTTGCAGCACTCCCCGGGAAACACCAGTCAAAGTGAGGAAATATCTATCTCTCTAAAACAATTTCTCTTAAACGAAACTAAAAATGTCGTGCAAGGGGGGTGCTGGTTGGCTCCTTGAAGCTCGACGACTCGATACCACAATTTAGCAATATTGATCATCTAATTTTGTCCAAGAAACTTCTGTCTCTATTCTACCGTCGTTCTCGAAGGAAAAGCTATCGACTCTACGAACACTGTTCATCAAAATTCTATAGCGAAAGATTTTTACCAGTTAGCGTTCGAGTAGAAAATAAATAAAAAAAAAATCGTTTTAAAATATCCATCGAGCGTGCTTCAATCGACCAACCGAGTCTTCGCGAAGAGAACTACCCTATTTCTCCCAACATCGACGCGACGAGTCATCAATGACCTCCCCAGCCTTCATGGCCACCACTTTCGAAGCCACCGCCTCCACCGTATCCACCGCCACTGCTAAAGCTGCCTCCCCCGTATCCACCGCCGCCACCGCTGCTGAATCCACCGTGTCCCCCTCCTATGTCGCCACCGTAGCCACCGCCACCGCCACCGCCACTGTACTCGATGTGACCACCGCCACCGCCACCGCCACCGCCGCCACTGTACTCGATGTGACCACCGCCGTAGTCACCGCCGCCGCCACCGCCACCGAAATCGTGACCACCGCCGCCAAAGTCACCGCCGCCTCCTAAACCACCGCCGTGGCCGAGATCTATCGGATGGCCCACGGTGTATCCAAGCACTTCGTACTTGTCGCCACCCCCGCCTCCGTGGTGAATGTGCTTGGTGATCGTATGCGTGTGGTGGATCGTCTTGATCTTGTAGGGTACATGGATCACCACGTGGTCGCTGAAAAGTCGAGTGAATGGTTAGTTTAGCTTGTCTCACGTTGGGATGAGAGGTCGAGTGCTTCAACGATGTATGTAAAATATAACGTAGACGCAGACTTGTCGTTGAACGATGAGTTTAGGTCGTTTCTCTTGTATATAATGTAAATGCTGTCCTTAATCTTGTGACCAATCAATCAGGTTGAAGTTGAGGTGTGTTTTAGTGATGTATTTCAAGTGTTGATCTTGCGATCAACTAGTTACTGTTACGATCTGCTGTTCTCCAGCTATCTCTTTTAATTAGAAACAACTACTTGTCCTTTTCTTCGACGAGACATTGTACTTTCAACAATTTTAATTACCAAATTCCAATTAGTCGCGCGCGTATCAAGATACCGCTGCAATTAAAAGAATATTTACACCGGCGCTGCTATCGTAAGTATAGTGTACGCGAAGAAGAAAGTACACGTTCACCGTGTCGCGTACGCGTATCAACAAACGTCGTCCAATTACGCGCGATCGCTGATTCGTTAATATCGATGCGTCATCGACACGGACGGTTGTGCGTGTAATGGGGTGGGAAATGCCGTTTCCGGGGTCGTTGGACGAGGGAAAAATCAACGAGCGCGGAACACGCGGCGATCGACGGTCTCGTTTATATCGTTGCTTTCGATAATGATCGCAGAAAATGGTAGCAATCGTCGATAAGGGGATCCAGCGGAGAAAGTCACGGCTTTAACGACGCCTCTCACGATACGGGACACGCTTTGTTAGGTTCAGTTCCGTGGAAACGCTGACGGTTCCGCGCGATCGTTATCCGCGGTGTTGTGGTTATTTTTAAGAAGAAACAACAAAAAATGGAGAACTTACTGTCCACCGTGGCCACCGCCTCCAGCAGAGGCCACACCGATCAGCGAGACTACCGCAAAGATGGCCGACTGCAAAGAAAAGTGTTCGTTTAGTGTCGCGAGTTCGTCGATCCGAGAAACTCTGAACAGTTTTCGAATTTGGACGAAATATTCCTTTTTTTTTCAACCGATTACTAGTCTCTCGCTGGCTTAATTTACGCACGATCTTTACACGTGGAATTTACTTCGCTTTCTATGACTCTCACCAAGAGCATCTGAACGCAATTATCAATGGGGAACTCGAAATTAGAAATCCTTGATGTTCAGAACTTAGACTTCCTCCGACTCCTGTCTACGGGGACAAAAGTTTCTTTCGACTATCCGAGTGATCATGAATTTTCGCAAAATCGCGTAACAACTCACGGTGGTGTCCCAGGGGACCACTTACCACGAGCTTGGTCATCGTGTTGCTTTTTCTCTCGCTGCTAGTTCGCGAAAATCGATTTCGTGTAGACGATGTGTGTGGACGCCGGAGGACCAGCTGCCGGTTCCTCCTCGCGATATACTTGGCGGTTTCAGCCGCTGTTTTGATCTGCTGTCCACTGTGCACGCGCTCGCCGCTTTTATACATGTACGTGATTGGAGTCGGATAAGAATGAAAGGGAATCTTTTGCACCCGCTGCCAGCGCACGTGAAAGGAGCGGGCTAATGGAGAAGACGTGGTAAAAAGCGGAGGACCAGCAGCCCCTCCACGTGGCCTACCCTTCACCTCGATCCGTCGTTTTGTTCGTTTCCTCTTTTTTGCCGAGCCGCGACGCTGTAATTCCCGCGGCTGTTGGTCTTTTTAATGAAAGCTGGACTACGGCTAGGTGAACGGCCAAGATCAAGATCAGCCTCGTAATACGAGGTGGGTACCCGCGGATCGTTTCACTCGTCTCTCGCGTCTGGGAACGAGGAGATCGATACCTGGGACACCTTCTGGACTTTTTACCCGTAGCTAGACCTGCTGGACGCTCGACCAGGGGACGTCCGTGTGTCATCTCGACTTCCGGAGTTACGCGAATTCCGCTTTTCTCGCGTTCGACGACTTTCGCGTCTATTCGAGTCTAGATCCTGAACATTTCGTATCCTCAGGCTGTTATTCTCTTTGTGGCACTATTTTAAAGACGCTCACGCACGATCCATTGAATTCTTTGCGATGATTTTTGTGTTCAGTTCTCTTTTTTGGATGTCTCTTTTGGATGTTTCACAGTTGTTGTGTGTTTTGTGTTGTGCTCAGCATGCTTAGCTATAATATTGCTTTTTTAGTACGAAATTCGCCTCGAATGATAAAATCAATTATTCTGATTGCTTTAGAATTAACCGTGACACGTTTCATTTGTGGCAATAGCCATTTCTAGAAGACAAGATACTAATATGCGTGGTTTTCTATCGATCAAGGAGAAGTTAGCGGTTACTCTGTGGTTTCGATCTTCTCCTCTTCCTCCTTAGTCGTCTGACATGATTACTCGTTTTGAAAATTGATATCGAGTATTGATATAATCTGCATTGATTCAGAGTACTGAACTTTGATCGTAGTCTCATTTTATCAGTATCGAAGCTCGGATTTCAAAATATCTAGACACACTCCTTGGTTTATTTTACTTTGAATGGATTTATTAATGATTGAAGAAATTTATTGACTTGTATCCGTTTCCTCGAAAGTAAAATCACGCTTTTCGAATCGAACTCGGCGCGATTGGAGCTAAGGAATGCGAGCCAGGTCGTCGAACCGCCTGATATCATAATGTAATTGCTGTTTGCAATAATTTCTACTCATTACAGCTGCCGTTTCACTCGCCGATGAGCGAGATAACCGCGTCGCGGAATTCTCCGAGCAAAATTTATGTCGTGTACGAGCTTAGATATCGATCTGGATTAATTGCAGTTTTAAAAATCTGCCCGTGTCTCGATTATTCTTTAACGAACTGTCGAAAGCGAAGATCGGAATAAATTTTCTCAAGCCTTTCTTAAGATCGAGATAACACCCAATTGGACACAAGTAATCGCATTTGCTGTTTGTTCGAAACGTTACGGCGAAAATGCATAATTAAGAGGACCGTATACATCGCAATTAAACGCGTCCTATCATTCCCCGGCCGCTTTCGCGGGATTTACATAACGCGAAAGAGAGAATTCTTTCGCCTATACTGTCTACGATTATCGGCTTTTGCGGACATACGATGTCCGGTGAAATAAAATAAACGTACTTAAGAAAGTTTTAAATGCGTTTCAGACGCCCACCTGTGTCGAACGAATTCTAATGAAAGTTGTCTGAATATTTTTTACCCGCTCCCTTCCTAATGTTCAACGACTCCTTGCCTGGCATATAAGATGGAACGTGTGGCTTGTAAACGTTACACGTTTCAGCCTGGTGACTTCGCACAGAATGGACTGTGAGTAACGTTCTCGATCGTTGAATAGAATCTACGATGCCTGGTGAACATTAATTTCATAAAAATCGTTTGAATCAATCTTCTAATTTTTATTTGTTCAATAGTAAGTAATTTTCTTTACACTGTAGTTTCTAGATTAACAAAATTATCGAAGAGGATCCAAGGATGGAAAGGTTTTTTGAATTATGATTATTTAAAGTATACACGCGTTGTCAGTATCCTTTTGCTAAATAAAATATTAATTATTATTGTTAGTTGTATTTCTCGAATACGTGGGAAAGAGAAAACGACTTTGGAATTGATTTTTAACACTGAAAGTTCAGTATTATTTAAGTGTTTTCGCCAAAAGATTTCTTTTCAGGGAAAACATTTTTATCTGTATTAATTTTTGAGATAGAAGGCTGAAATTTTCAGAGTTATGAGGAAATATACTGTAGATTATGCAGAGAAAAATTTAAGAAGAAAGCTTGGTCCGTTTTCGTGGAATAAGAACGCGAACGTAACATTGCAATAGAGACCGCGCGGAGATTTCAATGCGTGGAGATTTCAATGGGCGGAGATTTCAATGCGTGGTGAGTAGCATCGCTCGAGGCATTAAATCTGCAATGTACTTCGCTTCGAAATTGCAATACTCAGTCTATATTATCTCCAAATTTCATAGTTTATGTTCATATGTTTGTGAGTTTTATTTAATTCCTAGCAAAGTCTCTGTACGTATTAAATTTAAAACTTTAGAAAGAACAATTTCGAGAGTCTCGAAACATAGACGCAACTTTGATCGATACAAGCTTACGATCGCGCGGTGATATTCGAATTGTTAGTTTCTTGTTCGCGGTGCCATTTCACCGAGCTCTCTGAAATATTCCCTTTCACGAAACCGATCCGGTGAATCGTCCTGGAAGCGCCAGAAGAGGATCCATAGAAATCGTTGAACGGTAAACCGATACGTCCGCGGCGTTCTAGGATCGCGTGCATTTTTGCTAGACGATAGGAGAAAGGGAAACCGATCTCCTTCCCTCGTAAAACGTACACGGCGACCGAATTGTACGCGCATTCCAACGCGAGGCCGAGCGAAAACAAAAACGACCAACGAGTTATCCTTTTCCTCGTGGATCGCGGGACCGTGACAGTGAACATTCTACCGGCGGAATTTCCGCTCGAACACTCGGACTTCGTCGATCTGTGAATTCGATTCCGCGTGCTCGGAGATAGGCGTTCGATTTATCTAAACCAGTGGTGCACAACCTCTTCCGCAAAATTATTAAATAAAATAAAATAATAACGTTTTTACTGTTCAAATCTCGAATCAGGATGAGAGTAAAATAGTGTACCAGTAAAAATTCTTGTGATAATCGATGTAAATTCTATGAGTATTAGTAGGATTCTATATAGTCTAGTTTCACTATTCTCAGGCAGTCTATGTTCGTTTGTCTTTCGAAATGCTTTTCTTCTTGGTTATAGGCGATGCACAATGACTTCAAGGAAAAGCTTTTGTCGACTTCGAGCGATACGGATTCGAGTGAAATTATTTGTTACATTGGCCATTAGCGATGCCATAACGTGACGCACGGATTGTCCGCTATACGCGACTTTCGAAAGCGAAAAGCTCGTTACCTAAGCAGAGCACGCGAGAAAGTTACTTCTGATATGCAATATTGATCGTTGAAATCATCAACGCCCTGCAGTTTCTATCCGACAGTCGCCAATTTCGATTCGTCGTTTTACGAAATGATTTATGGATTTAATAAGTTCCAGTAAAAACTTGGGTTGTAATCTTTATCATAGTGAATTCTTTAATTTTGTTTAAATTTGATCACACACTAAATAACTTCCATTTATCTTTTATATATTTCACGTTACTGGTTCACAAAGAAACACGTAACATCAAAATTAAACAAAATTCTTGAAGCACTATTGTAATCCAATAATTGTAAACAGAACTATTCATCAGTATCTATGTTTGAATTTTAGAGACGTAAAGAAAATTGGGCGCTGATTTCTCGAATTTAGAAATGGTAAAAGATCTTATTTATATAAAAATTTCGAGCAACGAATAAAGGTAAAGGACTTTCGAAGGGTTATTTGTTCAATAAATTTAAGGTTTGACTCTTTTAAGGAATTATTGTATTTTCATTGCGTTACTAACGATCGCCTGATACGACAGATTAGAAACAAATCACAGCTACAAGTGTTCAGGATCATGTTTTGTCGATCGAGACAGGGGACGGCCCACAAATTCGCCACAATTAATGGCGTCGAAGAATGTGTCTAATAACGTGGCGTTGTTCACGTTGGATTTCTCTGCGAATGGTTCCAAACCGCACGCTCTCTCCTAGAACCGTACTTCGTATCTGCAGTTATTATAAAATATTTTTTCCAGCGTTGGACAGGGATTTTCTAACTTTCATGTACATTGTAGTTGTAAATGATCGCGAAACACGAACAGCTTCTATTATCATGCACCAAAGATTTCTGAATTTCTGGTCAGAGCCGTGTTATTAAAACCATTGTACTTGTTTCAGGGTGTATCATGCAACTTCAACGAGCCGTGTCTTTCATTTTGCTGGAGATAAAATAAATTTTGGACCTTGGATCGTTGTCGAGTGCAACGATGCATTTTCAAACTACGATAACACTTTCCTTTAATAGACCCATATGTTTTCTTTTTTAGATGTAACATTTGTAATATTTCTGTACCTAACTTTGTCTTATAAATATATATAAATTTATTTACACTTGTCGTTTTATGTACATAATCCTTGGCATATACTGTAAAGATTTTCACGGAAACTATTCCTAATCAGAACATGTTGTCCGCCATGTAAGTATTGCGTGTGAAATACGAATGATCGTCCGGTGTGTCAATAACGACATAAACACTTTCTCGAGATACGTTTCTATATTTATGGTCGCCAACTCGTCCAACCGTTTATACCTTTTTGCATAACATTATGTAGGCATTATTAATTAATTTATATTCATTCGCATAATGAGCAGTAACATTCGACTGGAGATTATTCGTGTTCTGATTTCGAAACGCAGTCCATGGGAGAGTGTTAGAAAGTGATCGTTTATAACCATACAGGTTGTAAAAAGAGTCTATTTATCTAGGAAATGTAGCCATTGCTATATTGTTTAACATCGACAAACGTGTGAGAAACACTGCTGCATTTGACATCAGAAATCGAGCAGTTCGTGTATTAGAAGAACCAAGAATCGTGTAAATTTCATAATAATACTATTTTTGTACCAAAAGAAACATTGCAACGTTTCGTTCCAGAATGTTAATTGGACCTTACAGCGAATCTAGTCCAGCAGATCCTGTTTGAAACAGTCTCCAGGACCAGGATAATTCAGATAAAAATCCTCATTAATTTATCAGTCGATTTTTATCTAGAGAAAAAGTATTGATTAAGTCATAAAATGATTATAAATTTCTCGATCACGATAGAAGAAATTATTCGTCCGAAAGTCGGTTCTTCCGTCAGAGAGTCGGCTACCGATCGATACCGGACGATCGAACGATCGATCGTGAATCGTGAAACGTTTTTCATGTTTATGTAAATGCGCATCGGAAGGAACAGAAAATAGAAATAGAAGAGAACCGCGCAGGGCGAGCCCGGACTTTCAACGCAAACACTTTCTCCTGTCGGCGATCGCCTTTTTTCCCCTCTTCGGTTAAAATACGCTTTGAAAATCGCGCGTTTAAGGAGTGAATGACTTTCGAACGCGTTAATATCCTTGACCGTGAGCGGGGCGAAGCGATCGCAAGAAAGTTCGTCGCGTGAATGACTTAATTGATGCCCACGCTTTTTGTACCTTTTGTACGACGCCTACTCGCGAGAGAATTTCGTGTATGTGGACCGTAACGAAAGGTAACGCGAAACTGTATCGCGAGGAGAAAGAAATTATTCAGTGAAAATCCCGCGCATAGTCGACACGGAAATATGACGCGATGATATTTCATCCATCGCGCGTCAAAGAATCCAACTGTGCACTTTCGATGCCCCATTCTGTCGAATATATTAACATTGCAACATTTAGGACACTGGATGAAACATAGTAACATTGCTACCGTATCAAAAGTATTACTTTGTTTAAAGCCTTTTTCGAGGTTCTAATAATTATGGTGCAGGATCGACAGAATGGAATAATTTTTTTACATTCTTGAGCTGTTCAAGTATCAAAAAATGCATTCATGAATGTTACATTTTAAATTCGAAAGGCTAACGAAATTATAGAATATTTATGAGAGCGTATCAGGTTGCTTAAGCGCACCGTCCGACAGGTTTCAACTCGGTTTCTCCGAAATCATGTTTCTTGGGACTATCGACAAGATATCTGGTACGCATGCAAAGTAGATATCTGTTCATAGTTACAACCGAAAGTGAGTTAGTGGGTCCATTTAAAGTTTCTATTTTCTTAATACTGTGGAAAGTCAATAAAATTGAGATGAAACTGAAATTATTTTTCAAAATGTTGCTATAATATTTTAATATTTTTCATTCTGATGTATTTTATCCGTGTCCTATCTGTGCGAGGATACAAATCGTGTTAAATAGTAAAAACACTTTTCCTTGAGTAATGTGACATAGTTTGGATCGTTTAAAATATACTTAGAAATCAATAAATGTTTCTATAAAATTTTATATTCCTCAAACCTTACGTCCAAAAATTTCAATAATTACGTAAATAATATTTAATAGGAATCCTCTCTTAAAGCCAAGAAAATTATTTATTATTCATATGATTTTTCATTGCTCACTGACTTCATCTGTGAAATTTTCGACCTATCATCGATTATTTCCAGCCACACAGTCTTGTCGCTCTGAATTAACGTAACAGTGTTACCCCGAATGCGTGTGGTAAATCGCGATTTCGCACGCTGAGAAAGTATGACACAAGCGCTGTACCACGTGTAATTTATTTAATAATATACGTAACGAAATTACACAATTTCCACTGTCGTATGAAACAGATGCTTACAATAGAAAAATACATTTTGCTCCATTCATCATTCCTGGAGTCGACATACGTTGACATTTCTTCACAGTACAACAATTGAATCTCACAACTCATAAGACAATAAGCTGGATATTTTAAATACCACGATTAAATTCACGGAAACGTATAAACATTACGAAGGAAAAATTCTGTTTGTATATTTTTCTCGAAGGCAAGTTATAGATTTTTATTCAGTTGCATACCTTGTCTTATAAGTCCCTGAAGTCTTAAAACACTTTTGTTTAACACCCTATGTGAGCATGTAAAGAATTTAATTTTCATTTCTATTTATTTACTGTCGAAGAATCATCAGAAGACGAATATAGATGAGAACGTTCCTTTCTACGAAGCAATTAATGCCTACAATAATTACTAGGAGTTGCTGAAACTTCTTTGTGTGCATAGGGTCAAAGAAAATGTCAAAATAAACAAAGAAGACAGCATAAATTATAGTAGCTAGTGTGGTCATTGGATAGAGGATGAAATGCCCTTTAAAATGAGCGTTTGTACAAGTCGATAGCTTTATTAGTTCCGGAGATATAGCGATTTTAGTTTCAAGTCGATGAGGTGGCTAGTTACGGAGATATAAGGGTCCGAAGAGAGGAATGAACTCGCGCGCGTGAAAATAGTAAACAGTGTGTAGTAAATTCTTGGAAATACTACTACTTCCTGGTCACGTGACTGTCTCGACTCACGCGTGAGCGAGAGGTCCAACGCGACGCGTCAGACGGAGACAGAGATAGTCAAATTAAGAAAAATACCCTTTTACATAAATTACGATATCTCGAAAACGATAAGTCGGATCGACAAAAACCAAAAACCATTTTAAAGGCGAGGCTTTGCCGCTTCTAACAATGGCATAATAATTAATAAAACGCTAGTGGTTTCGGAACTGCACGCGTTCAAAGTTTTAGTATTTTTAATGCGCGTTAATAGCCTTTTCTAAGGCGTAGAGCGGAATCTTAAAAATTATCCTTCAAATCCTCGGATTTACTAAACGAATTATGTAAACTTTGATACCCAAACAGAACTTTTTATTGCATATACAGTATTATATACTATATAATAACTTTTTAACGAAACCTCGATCAACAAATCTCTAGAATCTCCTACTCAAATTTTTTCCCACTTGAACCGAACCAGAACCGATATATGCTAGAACCTTCAACAGTTATCATTTCAATTTCCATAACTGTTACGAGAATTGAAACTAATAGCAATTTTGAAGCCTCATGCGATATCTATGCCTCAAGGTGAACTTTTGCGTGGCTAGCTGTGATTAGCAAGTGTATGTAGCAAATTCGAAATCGTCGAGAAATTCGTCATGTGCGATGGATCGACGAAGATCGAGTCGGCTGGTAGTATCGGCCACGAAATGTAGAACAGCGATCCCGTTCTTGTTGGTCGCGTTTTGGAAAGCATGGCTGGGCCGCGCCCGATCATAGACGATGCACTCGTATTTAACGGGGCGACGGCACCGGTGAACGCCGACCGATGAAAGTGTCGATTTCCCCCTAAACAAAAATACGCGTCGGACGGCCCGTGCCCGGCTGTCCGTTTCGCGTCTGCACGCCAGACGTCCCGGTGCCCGCGCCCATCGTATCCCATCGTCGCGGTAATTCCAGCGGCCGCGATCTCTTTCCAGGGCCACCGGACGCCGGTGGGAGGCGGCCCGTCCGCGCGTCGGGCCTCGATTATGCTCTTTTTATCTTGTATAAAAGAGAAGAGGCCTGCACGGACCTCCCGCAATTTATCTGCACCCGCTGGAGCACACGGACCACGCGGACACGAACCGCCCACGCACCCTGAGCCAAGGATTTACCCCGAGGGTTCGCGTTTGGCTGACGTTGCTCACAGAACTCGACATGCGGTGGTCGGTGAGTGTTGTTCAACGATCAGTGTCTTCAAAATTACTTCCAGGGACCAATAACAATTTCTCGAAAAAATTTGGACGAAATGAATCGTTAAAAATGTATACGAACACTTCTTAACAGTAGACTTATTTGATAATATAGGAAGGGCATGAATAAATTGTGATTTTTTAATGGCATTGTGTACTTGAAAGATCCATTTGCTTAAAACGTGAACGAGATAGCAACGATTGTAGTCGTCTTCATGGTTTGTCTTGCACATATATACTTACGAATATTTTTTATATTGATTATAAAGTTTTATTTTCGTTTCCCAATAGGTTCAAAATCTCACGAAAAATCGTCTCTATCCTTAAACTGCGCAACTAATCTTTAATTAATCTTCACAGGTATTCTGCATTCTGGTGCTGGCGATCAGCGAGCCACTGTTCGTCTACGCGTAAGTATACAAATCTTAAACTCGATACGTGTTGACTGTCACGATATGCATGCAAATAAATAATTATCTAACAAACTTTGAAAAATTGATTCGTTGGCATTTTCTGAATTTTTATGCCACGATTATTTAACACGTTGACTGCCAGTCAAAAATCCTAAAATTGTTTACGAGACCAATACTTTGATTTTAGGCAATTGTAAACTACACAATTTAAAAGTTGTCGTAGTAGTTACTTTTGTGACCACATTAAAATTTACGAAGCTTATTAAAATTAATTTTCCTTAACATTTCAACTTGAGAATTAATTGTTTTAGTTCCACTGTTAAAAGTTCTGTCACCCATATATGGGTGACGTGGCAGTCAAAGTGTTAATGAATCTGTGGGAGGTAAGCAGCTCATATAATCAGGGTAGATTCATATATAATGACCCCACTTAATATTCACATTACATACAAACTATCGTTCGTACAATTCAAATGAATTTGACCATGCATTTACTATATAATCGCGAGCCATTTTCCCACGATGCAAAGTATTTGACGCAAGGAATTGATATTGTTTTCAGCGCCAAGGTGGTGGTAATGGTCCCAAAGCAAATAAAACGAAGTCCAGGGCCTCCATGGCGATCCGGGACCCCGCGATACAGAAAATCGTCCCACGGAAACGACTACCATCACAGATATCACGGACCCCCGGGTCACTATCAGCCTAGGAAGCCAGCGTACGCGAATCCCCCGTTTCCCCATGGAGGCGACGACTTCGACCAGGGTCACGAAACAGTGAACCACGTGCACATACCGCACGGGAAAGATGTCAGCCACGCGATATCCTACGGCAAAGGATACGTCCCTTACGATCACTTGAAAGGCAGCTTCTCGTTTGGCCGTGAAAGGTAAGAGCACGCTTTCATGTTTCACCCAATCATCGCCATTTCTGGAGAAAATCTAATTCAATTACATTTTCCGCGATTACTTCTACAAAGTAATTGCACGGTAATTGGAGCCAAATTGCTGTGTAATTATGAGTGTAAACCATTAAACCGTACAAATACCGTATAATTTGCGAGGTATTTATAACGTAATTCGGAATTAAATTGCCGTATAACGTACAATGTAATTACGGAGTAATTATAATGTAATTACAGTAGAATTGCGGTGCAATTATTTTGTAGAAGTAACCGTGGCAAATGTAGTCTGATTACTGATTTTTGCCCATTGCTAAATGAAACATTTAACGTAGACACGCTCATTACAATTTCTATACTTTGAACGATCCAGATATTAGTGAATTTTTAAATCGTTTCCTTGTAGATATTAATTCTCGTAGTATTTTCATTTTCTATTTTATTTTTTTGAATATTATTTGACAGTAATTATTAAAACATATTCTGTTTTTGATTTAATATATGTCTCCAATAATTTTTCTATTGGAATGCAGACACACCAATGTTGTTAAATTTTTAATTGTCAGAGTTATACGACAAGTAGATTGCAATTGATTAGTGTGGCATTCCAGAGAAAATGATTCATAACTATATGACACGTACAAAGCTAGAAACGTTCCGCGAAGTGATACAGAGTATCTTAGGGCAGACATGTCTGACCATACACGATGTATTCTACTGTGCCCAGTAAATCGTTAAATTCCACAAGTAGCGAAGCTCGATTGGCTCGATTGATGTACATTGATGCATCGATTCTTAAAAAATGAAAAATATTACCATTTTCCCCGTCATAAACATTAAAAATATCAATTTGGAGAGTCACGTCTCTTAACCCTTTCATGACAGATGAAAAAAATTGAAATTCCACACTAATTCATTTACGTCGCTATTACTAGAGCGTATGTATACAGAGAAATATTAAAATTACTTTTCAAAATATTTACATTCAAATTTAAGATGCAACTGAAACCATCGTGAGTTTGAATAATAAAAATTCTCCGCAAACACGAAACTTAAATAATCCAACACGAATCTAGAAACGCGATGATTTAAATAACCATCGAGGCTGTCGATCTCTGAAACGTAGATCGTATCGCTTGAGAATTAAATCCATTCGATTCGTCACTTTCACCCGTGGATTTCACTAATTAATAAATTCATCTCAGGCATCCAGGTTCTCACGAGCACGTGCACTCCGAGCCATTGTACTCATCGAGCATGTACTCAGCCACGGGAGCGGAGTATCCTTTGCCAGGACATTCGTACGAGTCCTCACACGCGGAAATGTACTACTCCGACCCGGAGAGCGCCGTCAACGAGAGACGAAACGACGGGCAACGGTTCTACTCGTCCAGGTCCCTCGAGAAGGACCTGTCGACGAACAATCACATCGACTTCAACGTCGCCTTCGGGCAGGGCAAAGAGCAACTGCTCCATTTACCTCAAAAACCCACAGACTTTTACAATGGTTTGTCGCTCCAGCAACAACACCAAACGCAAGGGAGTGTTTTGTGGCCGTCGAAGATCCCGCCAGCTACCATTGGCGGTAGCAAAGAGGGCGTCGTTCTGAGGGACAGCGTGTCCCTGGACGAGTACCACCAGAAGCTCCAGGAGATGACCAAGATGTGGCCACAGATCCTGACGAGCGGAGGGACCGCTTTGACCGGCGGCTACCAGAGCCAGCTGGTGACAAGCAACTTCCCAGCGGCCGGTCAACCGATTTCCAGTTTCTCTGGGTCCATCAACTGGCCGCTGAACGTCGCGCAGGCGAAGCAAGGCTACGCGGTGAAAGAGGACACCATGGAGCCCCCTCACGACTTCAGAACCATGCCCATTCGGACCAACCTGTTCCAGGCGTACCAGCCGCCGACGAACCCGCTCCTCCCGTCCTTGTCACAGACGGTCCACGGGTAGCGTTCGGGGATTAGGCTAAAACGGGGATGGGGAACCTCCAGACTGTGGGAATTTTTCGGGTGTTATTGGATATTTTGTTTTTTATGCGATTACTTGCGAATGAGGGTCGAATCTAGTTGATTGGGGGTCGTTCTTTGAGTGTTACGATTAGACTGTGGATGTTTATGCAAATTCGTATTCTTATTAATTGGAATGGGAGCTTCGTAGAGGGTTGTCTCAACCAATAAATATAATAATTCGTATCTTTAAATATTTTTTATATTAAGTACATTCTGCAGCTTTTTAAGAATTAAAATTTCCCATGAATGCATAAGCATCCACAGTCTAATTATGATATTTAAGAAAGATATATTTAATCTCTATATAAATGAATAATATTAATAGGCAAGATAGAAAGAAATTTAAAATCATGCTGAAGAAGTTTCAAAAATATAGACCCCCATGACCCTGGGGAGGTCACTAGATTCGCCCCTGATCACAGGGTCGTAATTGGGCTGGGACTGTTCGAGTAATTTGATGGACGAATATTTTATGAGTCTTCGAATGATACGAATGAACTTGGAATATTTGACCATTCGATGTTCGAATATGGAAACACTGGTATATTTGTTACTGATCGATGAAAATGTTTGGATATTTTGTAAGCATTGCAATAACGCTGATATTGATATCAGAACTCGAAAATACTCTAATAATCTATTTATATACATACACAAATCCTGAGACTACTTATATAGTACGAATATCCAGATAGATATATAAAATATTCGAATGGTCAAGTATTGGAATTACATTATTCATTATTATTTATAATGTGACGATTATGTCTAGCGAATTAATTCTATTGGATGGTGGACAATGATGGTGGATGAATGTCAGAAGTTATTTAATTCACTAATTGTCTTTCCAGCTCTGCACAGAGGGTCGACTCTGCAACCTTATGAGGAATCTGCGAAGTGACCATGCAACTTTTGAATTCTGAATGGTTCCCCACCCCTCGTGTTAGATACTTTATGGATGACATGCATGGAGGACGGCTGAGGACTCCATGCGCAATTAGGTTACAGCTAAGTGTACAAATCGTGGAATTTTGGTACGTCGTGGAATGGGTGTTCGTCAAGTTGGTGTTTTGGGGTTTGGTGGCTCCAATTTTTGTAGAAGTTTAACTTCGTTAGCTTTGGTAATACCAGAGTGTCCCGAGAAATAAATTTAAATTATTTTATTAAATATAGTTTTACAATAGTTATACAATTACGATATTACGTTGTTGCCTCGTGAATTTATTAGATTGTCATTGAATAATGGCATTTGTTTTATACCAATTTTAAGCGTGAAATCTGTTTTCAACCAAGCACTATGTTTGTAAAGTCATGTACATGTGGATTATTTATCGATTAAGGTGATCAATGAGTAAAAGTGAAATTCGTGTATAAATTTAAATTTGGATTTAATTCCTCCACGTCTATATCTTGTCGCACTTTTTTAGACAATTTTGGATCCGTATTTAATCGATTAATCATCTGTGCATCACTATACGCCGGAAACAAACCGGTTCAGTATGAAGTGGCGTTTAATAAGTTGGAGAGTTCTGGTGAAAGTCAAAACTCGACAGTTGGCACGTTGTCGTTATGGTTTTTCAGAACTCGAGAGAAATAGTGCTTTCTTTGAGTTTTTTCATAAACGACTTGCACACAGTCAATGTTCATATTGAAGACAAAATTTTGAAACAATGCTTGGGATGATACTTGCGGAAACAAATTAATGGTTGAAATGTTACAAATAAAATAAACTCAAAGCAATTCTTGAAATTTTTGGATGCTAATTTATCGAATGAACTTACAAGGCAAAAGTTTCACTTGTATTTGAACTGTCATCGTAATAATGATTGCACCTTTTCTATTGCCCTTGCCACTAGAATTCTTCGATGACGCAACGTAGCCTTAAACGCGAAGGAAAGTGTCGAAGAAATTCTATTTACTTTGTCGTTTGTAATGACGCGGGCGAATGCAACAGACTATTTGACTCTATGCAGCCCGATTAGCATACCGGTCGTAATATGTTCCTCACATGTCGGTGAAAGTTATTTTTTGTCTATTAATTAATGACAAGCAGAAAGGTGAGAAAGGCGCTTCTCCTCGTGGAAAGTTACCTTGAAATTTCCGATTACATTTTGCACGGTGATTTGATATCGATGTTACATTTAAATGATCATGGTTTTATTGTTCGTGTATGTCCTAGATTTTCTACATATGTGTCGATACACATTCGATAGTTCGAGAAATTCATTTACATATGATTAAAATTGCTCTTATTACTAATATTTATCAGCAGCAATTATATTAAAAAATAATTAGTTCTTTTCTGTCAAACATAGCAACGATATAAGAAAATCACCAGAAATCGACAAAACAAAGTCATTAAAGCAGCATTCCATTAAAAGTACACGATACACTCGCTGTGATTTCTCTCACTGTTACAACTATGACCTCGTTCGTTAACATTCGCCCAATTAAGTCATCATCGTACGGATTTACGTTCACTTCACGAAACCAATCATTATCATCCAAATGTTATAAATTACAAGAGTTAAAGTCCCTGACCATTTGACAAAAATATTACCGCCTAACAGGAAGCTATATTTCATGTAAACTAATTTGTACTTTTATACTTTGCGTGCAATACAAAAGCTCGTTGGAAAAAAATTTCCATCCTAATCCACAATTATGGTCTGCACGATACATTGAATAATTTTCGTCCGTGCAGCGTGAAAAATTAAAATTTACATACACATTTGATTTGCATAGTCGTAAAACGGGCTTAGATTGGAATCTTTTGCACGGTCCGTATTTTAATTTTTTTGATCTATAATATGATCCTAATACATACGTTTCGTATTTAAAAATTTGAGAATTTTCACGTACGAACGTTCGATTTACGTGGTCGTAAACGGTTTTAATGGCGGCTATTGGCTGCACGGTCCAACGATCATCGCGGATAAAGCGATCAGCTCGAACAAGAACGAAGCAACGATCGAATGCCACGGTCGCGGGGATCACATCTTCCCCGTTTACTTTCACTCGAAGGTCCGATGACCGGATGAACGTTCGAAAGTCGAGAAAGTTGCTCCATCGCGAGGTCCTCTCGATCTCTTCGACCCGCCGCCCCCGCCTCGTCTGCCTACAGTCTGAGAAGACACTTTATAACCTGGATTCTCGCGGAAGCTGGATGGTTCACCGTAAGAACAATGGCAGCGTTCTCTCTCCCGTGACCTTCCTCATAAAAAAATTCCTCATCGCTTATAAAGTAATTTTTCCCTATTTTTGTTCCTTCAGGTTCGAAAATTTACTCCTCTTTCTTTCAAGTTTCCAGCTTCTCTGGGTTTGAAAATCCTTTTTGAAACTTCTTGACAAAATGAGAAAATATTACTTTAGAAGATTGCAAGGAAACAAGGAGAGTACCATTGTTAATCAGTGAGATACAGTTACGTATAAATCTTGCTTTCAAAGGTAGGAATTAAGAATAAAGAAATAATCCAAAAAGGAGGGGCAAAGAAAAGTTGTAATGTTTAATTACTCGAGAAAATGGAATAGGAAGTACCATGTTCGACAACTTTGATTCTTGCTCCGCAGAATGCGTAAAGACGAGAACCACTTTATTTAATTTGCGAAAGTGACTAAGTTGCAGCCAATTAAAAAAGAGAAAAATACGGGAACGGAAGTTGAAACTTGTCGTTTACCTTGCTTCTTCAAACAAGGTTGAAAGCAATATTAAAATGGAAATCAGCAACTTTTAAGTGAGAAATAAAATGTACTTCTATATATAATATTTAATATTCTTTCAAGACACGCGTCACCCTCGTAATTGACTTGAGTCTATTAAACGATACTTCAGGCGATATTTATGGCACATCGTCTTGATAACAGCGGGCAAGATTGTTACTTTGTAAGGATTGTCGCGCGAACAAGCTTGTAACTGGAAATTATATTCCTAGAAAAATCTTGTTAAAGCAACTCGAGCCACAGTAGGTTTTTCCAAAGCAGGACAAGTTCTGGCGAACAAGGTAGATCGCGAAAGGAGAAAATGGCGTTTGTGCGCATGAATTGTTGCTATTTGTAATTATAGCAATTAAGAGTCTTTATTAGACATCGAGACGTTTCTGCAACGACATATCCATCTATTAGAGTCTTTCGATAAATATAGTTTTTTTTATAATTGAAAGGATTACTTAATTAGACAAGATTGAAAATTAATTAAATTGAACGAGGGGGTTAAACTCATACGACTACCATAACTCGTGCCCTGAATGTAGTACACGTCTACGATCACAGATATCTCTTGCATGCATATTTGCAACGACTAGAAGCGCGTGGACTTCCTGCAAAATAATTGAATCTGATCGAGCTTATTACAGGGCATTAGAATCTGAAAGGGGTTAACAATGTCCAGCGAGAATATACGCGAAACAGTTTGAAACAATTATTTCTAATAACCGTTCCCGATGTAGCGGAAGTGGTCACGTAAACAAACGCATTAAAGAGGTAGTTCCGAGAACGCTCCGCATTGAACACGCCGGAACAGCAAAATGAAAAGTTACTGTACGGCGAACTGTAATTTCTCGAAACGGCGCGTCGCACGAAGGACCATAACTATATCTGCTGTAAAGGTATCATCGTGGCGGCTACTTTGTTGAAAGTAAAAGCAGAATTTTTTTTCCTGGTCTGTCGGAACGCTACGAGTTTCTATCGGAAGGGAAATGTCAGAGAGCAGCGACTTAAGCAACCAGCTATGCAACTTACCCACGATTGAAAGTGCACTTGCCTAATCGCCGCGGCTTGTCGCTCTTCTCGCGATTAAAGGTTCAATTAGCGCTGGTCGAAAGCGACGCTTCTCCTGAAACATACAACGAAAGTTAACTATGAATAGACAACAGAAATTGTATGCTTGAAAATTAAATTTTCTGAATTAAATACGGGGAATTTTAAATGAAATTAATCAATATTTATTTACTATCCTAGAGAATTTATGAATGAAAACATTTACTCAGATGGCATATTTAAAATGGTACAACAATGATTAATGTATCTATAGATAGTGATATTTAAGTTGTCTATACTTTTTTAGATTAAAAATTTTCTCTTTTGCCCCTCGAAGATTGTAAAATTGCCTCCCTAGTATTAATATATTCAGAACACTATGCAATATTTATTATTTTTCAGCTACATTAAGAAACATTGGAATATTGCCAGATCTATTCCAACGTTTTGGTTCAAGTTGAGAGTCTCTTTCAGGGTCAGTGTGAAGGAAGTGTGCGGAATGGAGGAACATCGAGGAGCAAGAGTCTCTGGGGCCACGGAAGGCGAAAATGGAAGTGAAAGGGCACGCGTATCACATGGTGCAGTCTCTCACGAATATTCGATCTCTCTTCCCCTATCTGTTACATCCTCGACGATCTTCCAGCAACGGTTTTCGTATCGCCACTTTCTATTTCGTTTCTCGGACGTCGTTCGCGTTTCTGCCCGCGAATTAAAAGATGAACACACGTTGCACACTGTGCTTAATTGCTCGCGAAGGAAGCGGCCACGCGCGTAATCCTTCAGCGAAGGCTGGATTGCGTGGCAGTTCCGCGAGGTTGTTGTCCTGGACGCTGACAATAGCTATTCAATTTTTTTGGGACGCTTTCTACACGAGAATGGCCCCGTTTGGAAAAACGGGGAACGCTAATTTTCACGAATTTTGAGTTTGACGTCTTTTTGTATGCCTCTGTGAGAAATTCGACTGGTTCAAATTTCGATTAATAAAATTTCCAACAATTTGTAAAAATTTGAGAAGGGTCATTTTATTTGTAGCGACCTAACAATATTTTTCGAAACGATCAACCTCGGAACTGACGTTAATGATAATATTGACTCTCGGTTTCACCTGTTCCCAGCAATTTGTCAGCCAAGCATCAGGTTTGCTTCAAGCGGCGTTTGTTCAAGCAGGGGAGCTTGTTTTTCTTTTTTAGCGAGTTTAGATTCAGCGCGCGTTCGTCGATCGCGACAATAAAATCCTCCAAGTAAGGGTTTTCCGGCGACGTCGATGGTTAAGTCTCAGGATTTAATCAATCCAGCCAATCGACCTTTTTCTGGCTATAACTCTCAGAGAAGCTTGAATAAGATACACAAATAGATGAGTTATTTTTGTGCTCTGACGCCAGTTCTTTAAAAATAAATAGTTGATGTCATTTTTACAAACATTAACTGCATCTTGCAATCACGAAGACTCAAGTCTTTACATATAATTCCTCATATAGAGGTCTGAGGAATTATAATTCTTGAAAACGTCGTGGTATCCAAAATGGATAAATTTGAATTTTCTGCAACACTTTGATCTACAATAACAATATTTTCTTCGTTTCAAGAACCACTGAGCGAGAATTTTGCTAATAAAGACTGCAATTTGACTTATATCCGATTCTATGTCTCACTCTATCGAGTACCTCCAAGAATTTGACACATTCCAGAGACCCATCGTAGATTTCCACGCGACGTTATTCGAACTATGCGCGAATTTCACGTAAGGGAAACCAGGGAAACCAGCGAGGAATTTGATATCTCTTTCGTGGTTGTGCACACCACGAAATCGGTTCGCGACGCGGAGTGGGGCAAATTTATTGCTGATCAAGTGCATCCACCGTTAACAAATGGGCGCAGAGAAACGTGCGTTTTTCGAATACACTTTTCCCCGGGAAAATACACTTCTCCCGCGATCGCGATGAGCCCGCGCCGGGCCCCGTTAATGCATTCTTTGTTTCATTTTATTCTGGAAATCGGGGAAAGCGCGTGCTCCCGTACCGTAAAACTCCCGTTTTATGCAACGACCTTCGGAGGAAAGTAAATTGATGCATCGTCGGCGAGAATCGTCGCGCGCGCGAATGAAAAGTGAAACGGGAAACGTTGCTCCTCGCGCGCACACCGCGGATGATATCTCCTGTGACGCATAGGAATACCCGTTTCGCATCGTACGGAAGAGAAAAGAATACTCGACGGGGCTGAACGTCTCGAGACGCCATTTTGGACCATCCTTTGCGAACAGTTTTCAAGCTAAAAAAGAATTTCCACGCCTGGGAAAGTTATCAATCAAACCTTTTGAATCAGTAATTTTGCATATTTTATTAGCTTTTTTTTTATCATTTTCAAGGTTAACCAGATCTAACATATATTTATTTTTTTTATTCTCACTTGATTCTGAATTTCTTAATTTGTACGAATTTGCGCCAAGAACGTATTATTATTGTTAATGTTGTTATCAAGAGCGACAGGCGAGATAAACAGACATCTACTTTAAGTGTACATAAAATTTCCACTCGATCGGATCTATAATTCACGAGATATCGTGTCGACAGGCTGGAGAAATATGGGTTTGACAGGAACACGTTCAGTTTTACCGCTTTCGAGACAGGGAGTGCCACTTCCCCCAAAGCATTGTAAATTCTATAATTATTATCAAATTCTCGAGACACGAATACCTCTGGAATATTCATAAAAAATCGACTTTTTCGACTCATCGAAGCTTCCATCTTAGATTCTTATTTATTTAAATTTTCACGACATAAATAAACTGTTCGTTGGTCTTAATTTCGCGATCAATTTAGTGTTCACGGTATTAGAAGTGAAATCAACTATTATAGATCGAGGAAATATTGAATTCGAGAATGTCCGGAACGTAGAAATTCTCGTCGAGTAGGCTTTACGTTAACCCGAGAATCTCGCTATTACCAATGATAATAGAAACACTTAGTATTAAACGTTTTTCGAAAAAAGAATGCGATCGCGAACGCGCTGACGCGTCGCAGGAAAAAAGCAGTGAAAGTGCGTTTCCAATTAAAATTTGTAAAATCGAAAGAAAATGAAACAATAAATAAGGCAGATTAATTAAGAAGTTTGCATTCTTTATTGTGACTCGTGAGAACGCGATTTCAGTTGCAAAATGGCTTCTCACGTTCCATTAGTAAGTTTTACGCATTCTTTGCGTACCACGTATCATTGTTGTAGAAATCGAACAACTGGGTTAAGGGTAAAACCATCTGGAATCATTCACTTTGTTTACCAACCTCATTCGACTTAAATAGTATTTTTCCATTCTCCGTTAGGCGCAGAACTTTCGATTATTCGAAAATCGGACATTATTAAATACCCTAAATCGCAACAGTTTACGTGTCTCCGTTATATTATACTGTGGCATATCAATTTTCACTTAGGCAAGTCGAAGAAACCTTTCACCTGCTATTTTAACATCTGAATCGTCAATTTCTAGAAATCTGACGGGTCGTGTTAAGTTGTCGCATATTTCATCGTCAAAACGACGACGAGAAACACGCTGCAACGCGCATTAAGATCCTCAGCGACGGTAGAAGAATTTATTCCGACCGAATAGTACAATTTCACCTACTCTCGTTCATCGACTAATGTTCTCTATCGCCTGTCATACACACAAATTATTTAAAATATTCAAATGACTTACTTAACATCGCATATCTTATTTACACATACCAAAAAACATGAAATATGATAAATAAAATGACTGGGAATGTAGAAAACGGTTTTCCAACTGATCAAAGGGGCTGCAAGTAGTATTATGAAATGTTTATGCATTGCCTAAAAGTACCTAAAATTTGAGTACAATTTTAAGTAAAATTTGAAATATAATTTTTACAAATCCCAAGGAATTGTAAAAGTGTGATCATTAATAGAAAATATTACGGGAAAGTTTATAGAAAAAGTAAATAAAGTGGAAAGTGTATGAAGCGAAAAATTGGAAATCGTTTACTTCGAATGATCATTACTTCGAAAAAAATGCATGAAATGCAGAAACTTATGTGTGTTTTGTAGGTGAAACTCTTAACCTTCATTACGCGTAAGAAACATTGCGAAGAATATTAATTAGCAATCATAGAAAGCGACAAATGAAGGTAACGATGCTCATATTCGAAGAAATATGGGTCCAATTATACTATAATTTACATATGAAACGAAAAATTCATTCGAGGCAAAGAATGATTGTTATGTTTCGTTTCCTTTCTCTTCACATAATAATTCTTTGATAAAATAATCTCTGAGAAAGCATGCGGGAAAATTAGCGATTTCTGTCTATATTCTAATCTTACTAAACAAAACAATCAGCAGCTTATTATGCGCTCTATTTAAACGAACATGTTGACTTTAAATCTCAAATAAGAATCTGTGCCCATTAATTACCATAAATATCCTGCTATTAATAGTAATTTACTTAAAAAACAATTTTACTTAACAAAATTAGTGTTTTCTACAACACGATATTAATTAAATGAACTTTTACTCCTATTTTTTATAAGTATTATCCACATTGGAATTTTTTATCTGTTCTAATAGAATAAGAAAAATTTATTTGAAAAGTCCCCACTACTGTTTCGATTTTTGTAATCGTTATTCCCCGCTAAAAATTCTTCGGAGCGAATTGTCGCGATCGTGAACTCGCGTTCGACGTTTCCGTAATCGAAACATGTGGAAATCGAAGCTACTCGTTCACCTTCCGCGTCCATGCAAGTTCAGAAAGAGCTCTCTTTGTTGCCCCACAGGGCACCGATGCCGAAGACCGCCCGGAGCGCGAATTTCTCTGGTGCCCGGCTCTAGGTCACGGTCGTTCCTCCTTAAACGCACACAATAATGTCCAGTTCCATGGGATCACAACCACGGAGTCGGTGTGCACCGTCTCCAGCACGCGTGCACCTTCGATTCGAGTCTCCTCCGCTGGTTGGGCATCGATCATCGCTGCCTCCCCACCTGGCTGGCTTCCGGTACTTCCTTCGGGCCTGCTATATATAGGCAGGATCACGGCTGGATATATATGACAGTGTGTTCCTGACCGTTGAAGCTAGCCGATCCAGGAAGAGGCAGGAAGAGAGGAGGACAGAGAGGACTATGGAGCCTAAAGTTGCTGTAAGGAAGTGCCGTCATCTTCGTGGATAGGGTTCCTAGGGATTTTGGGTGGTCGGGTTCTCGTGAACGTAGCGACAGTTAGGGTATTAGATAGTCGATGGAGTGATATACGAGTTCTGTTTGTGATATAATAGTGAATGCGTAGTCACATCAACAGTATCATTAGCTCGCGGTTCTAATAAAATAGTAAAAGTAATAGAACAGGAAAGTTAATGAGTAGTGTAATCAGGGTCACATTTGTAATATCTAGATAATAGAGCTATTTAAATTGCTGATAGGATTATGCAAGTTATTTGGAAAGGAAAAAGTCTGCCTCGCATACGAATAGTATATCTCTATCGATCTATGTTTCCTCTTCATGAGATCGAAAAAATAACACAAAATTATTAGAATTTATTACGGGAAAAAGATTAACAAATTTGAAATATAAATTAAAAATAGAAGACCAATATTCGGGTATAAATTAGGGAAGTTTATATAATCAAAACAAACTCTGAAACGAAAAAATAAAAGATGAAAGAGTAACGATCGAAATTCCAAAAAATAAAATCAAGTTTCATAGTTTTCAATTTCAAATTTCTAATTAGTATCGAAACCAAAGGCCAGCACAAGATAGTGCAGCAATCAATCAGAAATGTCAAGAGTAATAAAGAATTAATAAGTACATTCTCCATTTCGTTTTTGTGGCTCTAAACGTCTAATCTGAATCATTAAAACTTAACGATGCAAATTATATTTATATGAATGATGTAGATCGATTGCAAATAACTTGGAATTCAAAGTAGTAAATTTATGATAGAGTGATGAAAGGTTTGAACAGTAAAGTTAATGATAGAGTAGGATTATGTTTTGTGGTGTCCAGATGATCAAACTGCAACAAGTCATGAATTTAGTAAAATTGCTAACAGATCAGTAAGAGTTATATTTATAATACCTAAATGATAGATCAATTAAAGTCTCAATTTGCAGTATACCTCTTCGTGAATACTAGACAATGGAACACTAAAATTAGTGATAAAGTAATTCGAGATATTTGTGATAGCAATATAACACACTGGAATTATCTACAATATTAAACGAATAATTTTTGCGATGGCTGGACGACAAAGTTTCTAAACTGTTCCTGGTTCGTTACACTTTGTTTGTGGTATTAAACGCTAATGATAGAGCAGTTGAACTTGGTATGAAATTCTAATGATGCACTTAACGTCTTTGCGTCTAAGTAATAGCCCGATAGTCTCGGCGTTGCAATCACGCAAAATGATAGAGTGGTTGTATCTTACGCGAACATCGGTGCACCTTATTGCATAAAATTAATAAGCCCCGAGGAAAAATAACAGCTCCGCTAGGAAAGGATCGCGATGATTTACGAGAATTCTTCTGTTCGCAGACGAGGTGCTTGATATTCGCGACGACATTGGCCGTTGCCCTTGCCACGTTCGGTCATGAACAGTGAGTATAATTCAAACTACGATTATGATCGATTGTTGTTCGCCACGAATCATCAAAGTCTCGTTATAGAGAGATCGGCGATAGCTTCGATGTAAAATCGGTCGATTAACTTTCTAGCGTGCATATAAGAGTCCACGTACCGGAGATAATTCAGCACGATGAGAAAAAGATTATAAAATACGAAGACCATGGAGGTGATCACGGAGGAGGTGGTGGCGGCGGTGGCGATCATCACATAGAAGTCAGTGGTCCTGCGATAATTGGAGGTGGACACGGAGGAGGAGGTGGAGGATTTGGGGGTGGATTTGGGGGTGGACACGGAGGAGGAGGTGGAGGTCATGGCGGAGGATTCGGAGGTGGACACGGAGGAGGATTTGGTGGAGGTGGAGGACACGACATCAGCTTTGGAGGTGGTCACGGTGGTGGTCACGGAGGTGGAGGCGGAGGAGGATTTGGAGGTAAGGTCTACAACAGTATTTTTTAAGCAAAAAAATGCTCAATAATTGAAATATAATTGAATTCTAAAAAAAGTGAAACGTAATGAATGGACATTAAATTCAATCTACATTTTGAATAATTTCTTCTTTCATAAATCGAGAAACGTTAAACGATCCGTTCACATAATTGTTACATTTACAATTGGAAATTTATTTTAATAAGACCATTAACGCCTGCAACGTTGAATCTTGATGTGGGAAATGTTGCGTAGACCGTGTATACCTGGAATCGTTTTTCATTTCCGAAAGTGAGAGAAAAGTCTCGGCCGTCGTGCGTGAAAATCGCGAGTCGTATGACGTGTTGAATACGTTCGTGCGTTTCACGTGTTTCGTCGGAGATAATGGTAAAACCTTTTCCCACGTTCCCCTTAGGCGATCGCTGTATCGTGTTTATTCGCGGAGAATACCTTCACTGTTTCTCTTCGCGTCTCTTTAACGCTGTTCGTGCCGCGGAACTCGTTTCGTGGGTTTTCACTTCCGGCTCGATTCGGTGTCGAGAGTTTGTCTTATAATCGCACGAACGGCACCGCATGTAACGAGTCGTTTTGTCGATTTTTTACAACGCTGTAGGTCGTGAACCGTACGTTGACCGTAACCTTATTAGAAGTTCCATCGTTTTTGTAAATTTCTTTACACTACAAGTTCATGTAACGATGTTACTTAATGGTAGCTAGGTTTCAAAATTCCTACGACAACGTCACTGCTCGCATTTGAATCAGTAAATCTATCGAAAGTCGATTATATCGAAGAATCAAGTTGTTAATTGGACTTATAGTTATTTAGGATTTCTCTTAAGAGTATCTTTAATCCCTTGTTTTATACAAACTATTCGTCCATTATAAGATTAATTTTTAATATTTAATATATAAAAAGTAGTATTATATATTTATATTAATAATTGTTTCCCAATTCTAACGAGAACTCATTTTAGGTGGCCACGGAGCTATTATTATATCCAGTCCCGGAGGTGGTTATGGAGGAGGTGGCGGGGGCGGTGGATTCGACGACCACCATGGCGGAGGAGGTTTCGGAGGAGGAGGTGGAGGGGGTCATGGTGGTGGATATGGAGGTGGCGGAGGATTCGATGACCACCACGGTGGTGGAGGTTTCGGAGGTGGGGGAGGAGGAGGAGGTCACGGAAGTAGCGCAGTTATCATCGAACAACATGGAGGTGGAGGTTTCGGAGGAGGTGGTGGAGGCCATGGTGGTGGATATGGAGGTGGCGGAGGATTCGATGACCATCACGGTGGTGGAGGTTTCGGAGGTGGGGGAGGAGGAGGAGGTCACGGAGGTGGCGCAGTTATTGTCGAACATCACGGCGGAGGAGGTTTCGGAGGAGGAGGCGGAGGAGGAGGCTACGGTGGTGGTGGCGGAGGATTCGATGACCATCACGGTGGTGGAGGTTTCGGAGGTGGGGGAGGCGGAGGAGGTCACGGAGGTGGCGCAGTTATAGTCGAACATCACGGAGGTGGAGGTTTCGGAGGAGGAGGCGGAGGAGGCGGAGGTGGTGGTCACGGGGGTGGATACGGAGGCGGCGGAGGAGGATTCGATGACCATCACGGTGGAGGAGGATTTGGAGGAGGCGGTGGTGGATTCGGAGGAGGTCACGGAGGTGGATTTGGAGGCGGTGGATACGGAGGTGGTGGCGATTTAGGCGGTGGAGGTCACCATTCCTTTAGCGGAAACAGTATATCATCTGGTTTCGGTAGCAGGTGAGCATTTTTTAATTGATACTAACTTTGTGGAAATTGTTACAAATTTCACATAGTATCGCAATGAAACAAATTCTAACATAGCCTCTCTTCTTGTAATTAAATTGGGATCACTAAATTTCATGTAGAGAGGTTTGGTTGAGACTTTGTTCTTAAAACTGGTCGAATTGAAACTTCTATTTTCTTTAAATTCATTCCAAACATTTCGACCATTAATATCGATGGCCTTTTCCAGCAACAAATATGTTCAATCAAAAGGAAGTTACTTCGAAGAATGTGATGAAAATATTAACTTTAGGGGAATTCCTATGACCAAGATATTATAAACTTTTACATGATATCACAGACTCTAGTACCATTGATAAAGTGTATCATCTTCATCGCAGTCCTTCGAATAACTTTGATTATAGTCAATAAATTTATGCTCACAATCGTTGTTGATAACATTCCAAGAAAATCTGACGAATTTTCTATTACAGTGGTCACGGTGGAGGCGGTTACAGTTCCGGCGGTGGCTACGACTCGTATTCCAGTGGTCACAGTGGAGGCGGAGGCGGTGGCGGTGGCGGTGGTCACGGTGGCGGTTTCTCGGGCTACCACAAGAAGAAATAAAACAGATCGGGCTTCCGATCGGCCAGTTCGACCAACTTCCGACGTCGACTCAACAGTCACTGATCGTTCAGTCGCGTTTAGGATCACGCGATCGTCGTTGCTACGTGACTTTCGATCGCGATTCAATGTACAGCTCTGCCAGTATACAAAACAAAGCACCGATTCTCGACGATCGGTTCCGATTTCCCGCGATACCTGCCGTTTGACCGCTGGGTTAGGTTTCCATTCTCTACGCGCGTTCTGTCCTTCGTCTTATTTTCGTAAACATCGCGCGTTAACGATAAGCTATTACAAATCACAGAAAACGATATTGAAGGTTTAACGACCCGGTCGTGTAAAATACTCTCAGGAAACTTGCAGTATCGTTCTACTAATTTAGGAGAAATTATCTTTGATTTTTTTATTTTTATACTCTAATCTGAAAGTGACACTTTTACGCTTGCGAACAAGATTCCACAGTATTCTTTAACAATAGCGCGATCGTATGAACTTTCTTGGACGCGAGAAAGAATACTCCGTAGCTGAATTCAAGAAAACGTTTCACAGCTAACGATTAATTGTTACTACTAATAATTTATTAGTATCATCGATCAGTCGCGCGATACTTTAGGCACCATAGTCTCGTGCTGCGTTTTTGTTGTTTTAATGACTTCCCGCGAGTATTCTCGTACTGTTGTTACGTTTTGTACATATTATATACTTTGTAAATACCTTTGTTATTTTTTAATATATACTTTTATGTTACTTCGTAATAAATTCTTTTGTACGTTTTTGTAAATCGTTTCTAATTTCTTTTTAGTATTAAGGATAGGCTTGTACGTAAGCATTTGTTTAATTAGTTAAAGACAACTGCTTGTCTCAAAATATTTCATTTCATTTTTTAATCAACGTGGAACAAAACAGTGTTATTACAGTATATAGTAATGGATGCTCAGGTCCAAAAATTCTGAAAAACAATTTCTTTTTAAAGCACTAGAAGACTCTTTGTCCAACCTAATAGGTTCCCATCGCTAATTGATCTTTCCATTCTCGTCTGCTTCTGAATTAAGTCTCGTTGCATCTTTCATTTCATAGGTCGTTGAACATTACAGGAAACGTTCGATTCTGGGAATCAGAATGACGTCTCGCGAGTCTTCCGATCGCGTAAAACCTGTTCGCCGTAATAGAAGCATTTTTCTATATTTATAATCGCTCCTGAGCGCTGGGATTAGTTCGAAATGGAAAGTAAGTTGAAAGTGAAAGAGAGCAGATGTTTTGGTGCACGTAGGAGGACGATTTCACTCGACATGTTGAATCCTGGTTAACATGGATGTTGGCCTTGATCTATGATAGCTTGTTTTGTCTACGCAGAATCGTACTTGACCATCAATGTACAAGTAAATGACTCGGTGATTAGCGTGATCAATCCAACTGATTTGGATCTGAAGGAGTCTGTTATCTTATTAATTATCTAATATATCCTTGTTATATGTTTTACACGAGTAAAACATAGTTGCAAAGCATAATTTAACTCTCTTTAATGTCCAGTAGCTTTGAAGTTACATACCCATGCATTTATATTTTTTAAGTTTGATATTATTTATTTACCACAGTGTACTATTGTAATTTAAACTCTTTATATTAGAAAATTAACGATTGGAAATCGATGAAATTGCTGGTACTATTATGATGTGAAGCAAATCGTCAGAAAATAATCGACAGTTTACATAACGATGCAGCGAAAGTAAATAGAAGTTGGAATCCATTAATATTGCATTTGCAGATACGAATGCAAATTACATTAATTAGATTCGCAGTGGTTCGAAGTACAAAACGAACTTTCTACGCTGCATTGCTACAATGTGCATCCAAGATCCTACGTTTAATCACGATAGCTAAATTGAAAGAGAAATTTGTAACTAACTCGAATTAATTGTCCATGAAGGCAACAAACGAGAATTCAAAAATCGTTGGATATTACATTAGTTCAGAGTTTACCAACAGATTTGAAATACTTTGGAAATTTATTATAGTTTGCAAATCGTTAAAAAAAAGAATTTTCGACAGTTTTGTTCTGTACAACTTAATATTTTCATTTTAAAAAAAAACTTGGCCCAACGATATTTTTAGATTTTCGTGGTTTTCCTGCAAAATGTCTATTTATCGAATAAGGAATTTTTATTAACATGTTCGTTTAAGAATATAGAGGAAGCACTGAACAAAATTATAACTTGCAACAGATTCAGTAGTGGGGAGACCATTTGTTTGGAAAAAAAAATTGTAACGTTCACTTTCTTCGCCCCATAGGCGTAGAATAAACGAAAGCATTAAATTTTGATCCTGTAACTCGAACAGAATTTCTTTTTCAAGTTAAAAACGTTAGCTATCAATTATTTAAATTTTTTCTATATTCCCCATTTTTATTAGACAATTTGAAATAAAAAGAGTGCTTTTAAGCGGTCAATTTTGAATTAAAAAAATCATAAAGTGTCACTATTAAAATACATTATTTGGATTATGAGTAGATCTGTAGTGAAATGTTTAATACGATAAATGTATAATGACTCTACGAATGGCATATTACGACAATGCGTTATTACTCACATTACAGCAACTGGCGTCGTCGGAGAAAGCGAGCATAAGCTTCAGATCAATCGAAGATTCTCAAAGGGGCGCTATCGCCTCCTTTCGCCAGAAATTTGTAACAATGACTCATTAAGCAATCGACGTTGAGTAATAATTTACAAATCAATTACTAAAAGTCACAAATTGACCGAAACGTCGATATTACTTTTCAAAGTTGACATTTGTCGGTGTATTTACGTCAAAATTATCTTGCAAATAAACATAACTTTGCATTGTATGGAATGATTAAAGACACAATAATTTTTGTTAAGAACTAATCACGTTCGACCATTCACTTGACATCCTCAATGAATGCAGAGAACACATTGAAGAGAAAATAGTCGTGGATAATAGTGCACTTACACATAAATATTCTACAATGTGATGGCTTCCGAGTTAACAAATGGCCAGCGTAATATAGGTAATAAGTGTTGGGAAGTGATTCAGCACCATACGTAAAACGAATAGCACGTTTTACAATTCGAATTCAGGCGATAGAAGGCCTTTAAGAAACGTGTGATTAATAGTAAACGACACTTTTGAACATGGTGTCAATCTTACGATTTTAAAAATGAATTAAAAATGAAAAGATTTAAATATATTAAATGCTATACCAAGTGATAGACTATTTTTTTCTGGATTATTGGACAGATTTTGTCATGATCGATATGGCGTGGAAGGGGTAAGAATTCCTAAAGCGATGGTGTCTACGACAATGATAGAAGGTGCTCGTGAAATTCCGTGTTAATCGCAAGTGAGAGTGAACAGGGTTGGGTGGGGTGTACGCAGGAAATATTTTGCTCGTTCCCCGTACCGTTCACTGATTATGCTTCCGTTTAAAAGGCTTGCCTGGATTGCGTCCTTTAGTTCCTGAAGCAGAGCAGCCTCGGAAAACACCTAAGATCCTGCGCGGAGCGGACGCCAAAGCCATGGAGAAGCCAAGAACACGCGTGGGTGTCGATACTTTTAACCCTCCGTTCGCGAAGATTTTTTATTTATCAGGATCGGCGATTAAAAAAATTCGCGTAGAAAATTGTGTATTGCAGAGATAAACTCGCGAAGTATTACGGTGTATTTTACTATGAAAGGTGCTTCATACATGAAATAGAAGACATTGGTGATTCGTATAAAATTTATTTATTTTCTCTTAATCAAACTGCTCGTGTAAAAGTGATGTTCCTTACTCGGAGACATTTCTGAAATTATTATTTTTATTCTAACAATTGTACAAAGATGTGTCAACTGATACTATAGGTTTTATAATAGGATACAGCTTCGAGGAACAGTAAACATATTAAAGAATAAAATTTTGTTACACGAATACAAATTTTTCAATCAAATAAGAAAACGATTATTCCGAACGTGGGAATATTTTAAACTTGCTATGACTTTCGCTGTTCCCCGGCGTGAAATCATATTAACGGGAAAAATGAAGAATCGTTAACAAGATGTCGAGCGAACGGTAAATATGGGGCTCGAAACAATGAAAGGTGTTTCTCGAAGACTCGATCATTCCACCGAACAGAGGCTTAATAAACGGTGATCCAGTTGATCATAGGCTCGGACACTTTCACCTGAACTTGTAACGCAACACGGTAGATCAATTTTTTTTGGTCTTGCTCGAAATATTTCCGATCAAGGTTTCACCGTTCAGGCTTCTCTTTATGTATTATATTTCCGGTTACAGTAATTCTATCCGTCGAACGTCTCATTAGAAAACGAATGGGGAGAATTGCCTAACGTTTATCAATCGATAAACACTTCAAATAATAACAGAATTATTTATATTACTTTTTATAAACTTGCATTTTCGATAGGTTTCAAAGAAAAGTTCTATAATCAATTCCAGCAAGTAGAATTAAAATTTTTAAAAAGGAAGAAGTTGCAATTGAAATGATATTTGAATTGAATCTTTTCTGCAATGACTAATAAATTTACCTTGCACTTTTCTGTTTTAGGTTTTCCTTTTTGTCCTGGTTGTGTCATTCGCCCTTGTGTCTTCGATGCCTTATCCAGGTGGTGGTGGCCACCACGAACAGTAAATATTTCATCGAGTTATACAACTTACCGTTTTATGCTCAATAAAATTCACTATCATTGCAATTCCAGCACGCACTTCGTCATTCACGTGCCAGAACTCATTCACAAACATTATCACACGCACGTGAAGAAGATCCATCACGTGAAGCACGACGACGGGGACGATGGTCATCAGCACATAGAGGAATGGTGAAATTTCGGATTTCTTTGCATCGGCGAAGTTTGTAAAATATTTCCTTAAGCTATGCTTCCATATATGTATTAGATCGCTATGTTATAATTGTATATATTTATTGATTGTTGAAGCGAAATAATGTTACGTTAAATAAAACGATGTTAAGAAAATGCACCTACCGGGAAAATTGATTGCGCTTAAAATTTAATCTGTTAGCACTTCCGGGAAAATTATGATTTCACTTATAAATTAAGGTTGCAGAGAGATAAGGATGAGAGGTATTTGCACAGAATTATAATATTTGTCAAACATATATATTGTATAAAAAAATAATGTAACATGATACAGTATGTACAAGTATCTTTGATCTAAGCACACACATGTGCATACCGAGTGATACCATATTTTACACACTTAATTGACTAAAGCAGGCGATTCGGTTTGTTTTGTACTATCTCCCACTGTTTGCTTCTAGTGCGAAAAACTTTCCAGAACGGTATGGTCGGTGAAAACACAAATAAAGATTTACGAAATGCTAGTAACTCGAATGCCCTCATTTTATAACCTGCAACAGAGTAATGGGACACGTTGCACGTAAATCCATTACGATACATAAAGAAACAACATGATAAAAACCCAAGTATTCATTGACAAATTTGTTACTCGAAGAATTCATTGCTGTTCTCTTTGGTTCCTGAAACTATGTGGATACTTGTTCATTTAAAACTTGACTCGACTTGACTTGACTTGGCTCACTTTCTTGAATTTGAATCGACTTGATTCAACTTGACTTCACCTTTCAGAACTCGAATATACTTAACTAAAACTGTATACTTGCTTTTCTCAATGAAAATATAAGCTACTTATTAGTTTATATATAAATTCATTCCCTCATATACTTGAACTCGACTTGACAGTTGGCTCAACTTGATTCAACTTGACTTACTTGGGCTTGACTCGAACAAACGGGAACAAAAATCAAACTGTGTACTTGATCCTTTCATCGAGAACTTAAACTACTCGTTTTACCATAAGTTTGATTGAAAGAAAGTCACTTATGTACTTGAACTTAAATTGACGTTGTAACTTGATTAAACTTGACTCGATTCGAATGGTATACTGAAATCATTTGTTTAATAATTACCTAAATAATAACAAGCCGAAAGCTGAGGCGCTCCCATTACCACCACCCCTTCTCCGCGTGAACAGGTACAGGCACGTGCACCTTTTCGACAACTGGAACAGGTACGTGTACTTTTTCGACGTGATGGACTGGCACGGGCACGGCCACCTTTTGCACGTGATGGACGGGAATTGGGACGGGGACGTGCACCTTCTCGACGTGGTGCACAGGTATCTTCTTCACATGATGATGATGGACCGTGTGCACGTGATAAGGCACGTGGATGCGTACGTGGTGGTGTGAACTGAAATCAGGCAATCGATTTCCTTAAAGACGAGGTAATTTCTTCTTCATCCTCTTCAAATCAATCACTTATCAAGCAAAAAATATATATTATGGAATAAAATATTCTTACGTAAATAACAACTTTAACTAACGAGTAAAAGGCAAGAAACACTTCTGACATCACGATGCTTTGATGTTAATAAAAATTAAAATATACCGGACTCGAATGAACGCGGTGAATAAATCGCCATAGAAAGTTTTCGTTCGTCATGTATTATTCAAATAAAATTCTCATCTCTGCATTCTGTTGTCAGTGTTTGTCAACGATACAATCGTGCAATTTTTTCCCCGAAAGTTAAATACAATTTGAGTTATGAGGGTTGAGAGAACGAGGAGGGTTCTAATACTTTTGTCGCGAATCAAAAGCCGTAAACAGTAATTTGCGTCAAACGACGGAACACTTTGTCAACTCACCTGTGGTAGCCTGGCACCGGCGAAGACAGGGCGACGGCCAATATTCCGAACACGATTAACTGCAACACGAACGTGAATTTGTGATACGTCTGTGACGGCGGCGAGTGCACCGCGATTCGTCGTGTGCGTCGTTTATATGCAAGACGGTATTTTTTTTTGCCTTTTTGCAGATTCACTGCTCGTACCGCGTGTTTCGCGCGATCACGCGTCGCTTGGGGTGAAAGTATCTCGTTCTAATTTTGACCAAACTTGTCTCGGTGATGTCAAATGAATTTACAAAATCGGAGCATCGATACTTTCGAACGTACAGTAATTATTCGATGTGTTTAAAGGAAAAGAAATCTAAACCAAGTCACGAGAATTTTAACTGATTTTATCTGATTTTAGAATCAAAATTCTTTACAATTAAAGAGCATATTATAGTGTGTGGTATAAAACTATGTTGATGAAACTGCGTTTTTTAGTTTGTAGGTTCGTTTTTTATGTCTTTACTATTTTCTAATGGGTGATTTTGATCGAAATGTAATTTTACAGGAAGAATGACGTTATCTATACGATAAAATGAACAAAATTCTTCTTGTAAATATAAATTCTTGCAATTTCAAAAGTAAATATAAATTCTTGCATTTTGTGGAAAATTGAACAGAGGACAATGTATTTAATAAGAAATAATTTTACAAATTTCAAAAAACTTCGATCTTGAATAGTTCCATAGAGACGAATATCAGATAAAAACATTACGTTATTAATCCACGTAAGTCCTATCATCGAGTGCAATTTTCGAGAACAATAGAGAAAACAATACTCATGCATGCATAAAAAAAAAAAATAAATTAAATCCAACGAAACAAAATAAAAAAGATTAATTTGCCATAAAGACAAGAATGACACATTCTCGAGTCTCATACATGCTACCGAATCCAATCGAATGTCACAAAGAAACACATCGTAGACCCGTTTTATCACTGTTGTCGCGAAGGGACGAAATAAAATCGTTTCACAGATCGTCCATCGGGGGACGTACTCACAGCGAAGGTCTGGGAGCGCATCTTGGCTGTTTCCGTTTCTCGTGGTAGTTTTCCTTTACGCGGAACTTCACCCGACTGACGAACTGACGATGGACACCGGAGAAGACTGAACGGGCGAAAAAATTAAAACGGTAGGTTCGTACTGTGACCACGCGACTGACGTTTTACGGATGTCGACACGTTTCTGGCTTTGAACGGCCGGGGATGTGTGCTTATAAAGGACGAACCGCGGTGGTCAAAACCACCCGGTGAAAAGCCACGGGGTGGGAGAGCAAAGTCGCTCGACTTTACGGTTACGTAAAAGCTAGGAAGCGGCACGCCGATGGTTACGTTCGTTCCGCGCGTTCCCCCAGGCTGCGTAACACACCGCGTACGATGCGTACGGCACGTGCCCGATTCCCCGGGTAATCCTGCTCCCGAGACCGATAGCTAAAAAAACGGAACTTGACGTAGAACTTTCCCGATATTATCGTATCGATGGGAAAGCAGAGATGGGGCAAAATTTTGTGCCCCATTATTCAGTTCGAAATGGATCATCGCCATTGCAACCACGAATTTAACACGTTGAACGAAGCCATCTTTAAATTCTATAACGATCGAATTTTTTTTCTTTCCAGTTTACTAATTACAGAATGTATTACTATCTGCTAGTAAGTTCACTGTCAGGTTTAGATCGATTCTTTGTGACCATCAAAGATTTTCTCGTAAAATTCTCCCTAAAATTTCGCGAGAAACATTTTGTACTTCTAAGGTAGACATCATTCAAATATCTAGCCTTCTTGGTTAATTATAGTAGGTGAGTAAGAGCTTCTGCGAAGAAAATATACCTTTGGCAGAATATCGTGTCCAAAACGAAGATTTGGGAATTCTTTATTATTTTTTTTAGGTCATTTTTATTATAAAAACATACTTTGATTGAATCTATACAAAAATTGCATAAAAATTTCGTAACAAGGTTGTCATTTAATGGGTTAAAACATCGAGAAGTGCAGAAAACTGGTGGAGGTCGAATATTTACTGTTGTATACAATAACAGCCGTGAAAGTAATACGTAAAAAGTAATTGCGGCGTTAATTTGCTGGCGCGTTGTTAACGTTGTTACGTCGTCGACCGGAAAACAGCAACGCGGTCGTTTCCTTCATTTTCCGAATCGTGGACGTGCCACTAAGGCCGGAAAGTCGATTTTAATTGGAGATTAGGTTAACGTCTTGTAATATTTATAATTCATACTCGTCCGAGTGAGCTTTATTAACCCTAATTCTACAGAAATGTGATCGAGTTTGGGTAATTGTAGGATCTAATAGGTAAATTTATGTACTAATGACATTTTATGGATCGTTGAGTTATAAATTACTTACTGATCTTAGAATTACTCAAACTCGGTATTAAGTAATATCCTAACTTATATTTGGGGTGGAAGACATTCAATTTTGGTCCCTTTTTCAGTATTAATTATTGTCTTCAGTCAGTTTTCAAAAACTTTCAGATGCACAAATAACAATGTATTTGCAATATTAAAATAGATAATGATGGAAAATTAGGACTTTTAACCAAAAATCACGGTCAATCCGTAGTTAAGTTAAAGGAGAACAGTAGATGTCGTTTCCTCGTGGTTACTTTCAAACAAAATCGTTTCCTATTTGCATTAGAAATCGGCCATCGAATGAATTTTTTGCAGAAAACGCCGATATCTATCACGATGGCAAAGAGAAAGTTTGGTTTACTAAATTTATTATAAGTTAGCATGATTCTTAAATGTACTAATAGATACAATGTGTAACGATAAAACCAGAGCTAATAAGATGCATTTGGTCACAAAAATAAAACCTACAAACAGACTTCAAATATTGAGTCCCAACCAATCGTTTCCATGTACACTTAATTTCAACATCGTGATCGAATTTTGAATTTGCTACATGAAAATATTATTTCGCTACGTGACTTTCTCTCGGGTCATGTTTTCCGTTTTTGTAGAAACCATTTGCAAACGAGGAATTGAAAGTTGAATGTCAATTAAAACGAAACTTCTTTCGAAGAGTTTCGGAGACGTCTGATTTTTTATGTGTAAACGATGGGAAGCAGGCAAGCTAGAGTTACACAAACGTTTTCTTATTTTCGCGATATCCTTTGCCGCTAAATCGAAAAATTATGTCGAGATTCGGGTTTTGGTAGATAAGTCACTCAAGCGTCACGTAACACGATGGAAACACAGGTGGAATATTTTTACATTACGTGATCGATTTCACCCAAATTATTCGAAAATAATATATAATCGAACGTAGCCACGGTATTAATTTATTCCTTGCCAAATTCCGAATACATTTGTGTCTATTAGTGATTTCGAAGAAGAAACGTAGTTTGTATAATTGTTAATGATCGACCACGTCTCAAAATAAAAAACTGAAACAATATTAGTCTTAATGGTCGAATTAATAAAATTCTTTATATCTGATTGTTCTTTACACCCAATTTCTAAGATTTAAATTTAATATTTTAGTTAGTGTGGTATAACTATCACTACTACGAAGAATGTTACTCCTGCAATAAATAACACCGAACCATTTAGGCGCTTAGCTCGATAGTGCTTTTACGAGAAAATTATCCATATCAGCCCGATAACACGTTCTTTCACGAAAAAGAGAAATTCGGTTGCGTGTCGTGAAACCTCTGAAACAACCAGGAAAGGCCGATTCCTGTCGTTTTCATCGACGCGAACGTCGACACAGCCCGTGACATAATCACAGGGCGACCTTAACGCAGGCAACGAACGCGTCGCGCCAGTTTATTATCTATTAATTGCATTGCAATTGCGAATGTAGCTCAGCGCCAGTCGACCGTAACACGCCAAGTGGAACAGGAAAATCTCATTATCCGTGACTCTTTAATAACAAACTTTGCGTTCGAGCATACTTTGTCGTCTTCGTCAAACAGCGGACGGTTAATTGCGAAAAGATTGCAGCCCTCGGTTTCGTTCCTCCCCAAAATTGCGAAAGCTTCTCCCTCCGGTCTCGAATTCGGTGCATCGTCATTTTCTAAGGCGAATCGTCCGACGATAATACAATGTTCGCGTACGACGAATCACAGAAGCGTTTCGAAGCCATTTTCCGCGAAACGCTTTTACTCCCGTAATCACCGATTCGGCCTCGTTGGCCACGAAACGATCGAAGCCGCGAATTTACGTATCCGCGTGTACTCTTTGCCGTGTTAATCGAGGATAAAATTTCCAGGCAGGAATTAAACGAGCGTGCTGCAACTTCCTGCGCAGTTGCACAATTTTATTGATTCTAATTCGCATATACACCCATTAATTTTCCAATTTTGTTCCGGTCAAGAGCGTGTTAATGCTTGGCGCGGCATTTCCTTAATTAGGGATCCGTGACTTCTTGGAAAAAATATTATATTTTATAGATAAATCCGCAGGAGTAGATATTTCTGTAATTTTGTTTTGCGATTTCGACAAATTTTCTTTGGGAATCGAGGAAGAACCAAGATCCTCCATCGTGAATTAAACTCACGATCGACCCAGTGGACATTCCCATTTCAGAATGCTTGCAACGCGCAAGAACGAAAAGAAAAACATCGTAATTTGTGTGGTTCGAATTCCACGCGCTCCCGATGGGACACGCCGGGTTCTCGCGCTTTCCAGCGGACCGTCAGCGTTTCTTTCGAGGAAGGAGTCAGTGTTAAGACCAAGGTAACGATCGAGACCATGTTGCACGGCGTCGATTACATCCATTTTTTTCGTACATGCACCACTGGCCCGGCCAGTGTTGCAGGAAGCGGTGCAGGCTGCATACTTAAAATATCCATCATACAGGGAGAAAGCGTTTCGTAACCTTTTCGTTGTGTACCTGCGTGTATCTTGCGTAGCCAGTGCACCCAATAATGAGGCGAGGCGAGAAAGGTAAGCGATTTTCGATGATATTGGCGGTCCCTGAGTCACGATTACGCAACAGCTCCACGGGTTCGGTCCACCTTTTCGACGGACCATCCCGAACGTAACCCGTGAGAGCGGTGGTTCCGTAACGCGATCAGAGAATGAAACGAAGGAAATAAAACACGTAACCGGGGATTTCATAATTATCTTTGCAATTTATACGCAACTTGAAATTTTATATCAATTCCTGGCGGAAGAGATTTCTCAATGTTACGCTCAAATAAAACATGTACAAGTTACAGTTTGAACGCCATATTGAAGCAACAGAATCATCAGCATTGTTTATGTGTATTATGTGAGGAATTTCATCCCTTAATGGACAGGTGGGGCACCGTTTTAGAATATTCAGAAACATGCTCTTCAAACGACGTCGAGTTTGGATGCATTTTTATCAATTGAATCTAAACAATTTCACGCATTTATCGAATCTGTTAGCAGCCTTAGTGTACATGGTAATTGACATTGAATAAATAATTATTCTCAAGTGGCCCCATTAGACATCTCAATGAAGCTTCTTTTTGTAATACATAAAAATTTTGTGCATGCAAACTAGATGCATAAGATGAATTTCTTTCTATACGTGTCTACTTCTATTGACAAGTACGAATCTAAATCGTAAAGGCGATCTATTCTCGTGAAATTTGTGCCCACAAAAGGGACCCTCTGCAGCGATTTCCGTTACATAAGATCCACGAAGACCCTTTTCGAGCGTTCGACAGCGACGAATGAGGGGGAAGAGGACCGGAACCCGAGCGGTTGTGGCATCTTGTGTTTTCGATGTTACCTGTAATCGCTCCTGGCTTACATAAGGATCGCCAGCAATCATCCCCACCGTTAAAAAACATTTCTACCTCTTCCGTCCCGTGAAAGTCACTCGGTAGGCCGATTTTGAGGGAAATATGCTTCGGTTAGCGTGCGACGAGAGAAAATGAGAAACGCGGCCGATGAAAGTCAAACGTTGGAAACGATCCAACGGGTGGTGCACGGCGCGCGGCACGATCATAAACGGTAATTAATCGATCGAGGTGTGCGCGGATTTACCGAGCACAGAATCGAAGGAGGGTCAGCGAGAGATCGCGCTGGATCAACCTTGTTACGGGGCTCCTTCCTCTTGCCGGTTTAGCGATTATATAATCGCCGGTTCCGAAGCGGAAGGGAAATTCTGAGTCCGATATTTTACCCAGACGGGTCAGCGAGATCGTCTACATCGATCTCCGTTCGTACACCGTTTCGTAATAACCATTACTTTCCAGTGGTAAACAATATTGTTACGCGACAAAGCGAGACTAACCATATACGACGATTAAGTTCGTACGTTCGTAATGTTCGAAGGCAGTGATCAGTGGCTCGTTGCAACGAAATTAATCGCGTTGAATTAAAACTGCACGAAGAAAACCACAAACATTGTTCAATTTATTTTATTTATTTTCAGAGAATTTGTGAGTACTACTATTTATTGTATAATATTATTTTATTTCGTATCCTTGAATTTGTTGTGTTACATGGAAATCATAATTTTAAAAATCTCTCTTTGCTTGCATCGTGCTGACCTACCTCGATCGCGTGACCTGCGTGGCGATCATGTAATGCTTTGAACCCTTACATCTCCAGAACTAATTACTTAAAGCGAGCCTGTAGCAAATTGTGAGTTTATAATTGATAAATGCATATCATTTGATACACGAGTACATGTGTAACTTTCGAATGATTCACTCTGACAAGCGCCATTAAAGTAAGGAACGAAGTCATGTTACTGATAAGGGAACATATCGAAACTTCATTTTTCTTCATTTTTCATCCTCGTAAAAGTAATCTGCTAATTTCGCTAAAGCATTCAAGGTCTATGTGCTCTTAGATCTTACAAAACTTTTAAATTCGCAGCCATTAGCTCGGTGTTACCCACGAAGAAGAACTTTTCTATCGTGGGTAACACCGATTACCAGGTCTCACCACGTGGAGGTTGCTGCGACTGGAGACCCGAAGAGAAATAGATGGAATCCAAGTTCCATCGATCTCCCTTTTACATTTTTAGAAACTAGATTACTAAACTAGAGAGATAGAAGGAAGCAGAGTTCCTTCGATCTTCTAATTTAGTTTTACCAAGCAATTATTACGGTTAACGACGTGTTCTACTCAATGTCAAAGATAAGAGTTAAGACTGATTGCTCTATAGAAAAACTATTTCGATCGCTTCTTGTCTCTTGGTAATTCCTGGATCTTCACTGGACCATTGTCGCCTTGAGGTCGACCTCACTATTGACCATAGATGACCATGACCATTGAGTAACCAACGATCAAATAAAGCCATCACGAATTATTTCACGAAAAATTAATATTTACGTAAACTGATAGACCCTTTCATTATTCATATGTCACATATTGTTAAGAATTGTTTAAACCATTGTGTTGTAATGGTAAACAATGCTAAGTTTTATCTATAATTGTTTAATTCTGTTCTCTGATATAAATGAGTGAATATAGTGGCGATTTAATAAATATCACTTTGAATGTTTATTAATTTATTTATCATGCAATGTCATGTGAACGATTAATAATAATACATATCACTTTACTGACAAAGTTCATAAGTATACATATGTGGAAATGTATGCTACTATCATTTATGGAAAACTAATTGTAAGAGGAACTAAGTAAATTTCGCAATTTATAGTAAACGGTGAAGTCTATGTCTAATTCATATAATCGATTGCTTCATCATTTGGATCTTTATAATTGCCTTTAACGAACCGTGTTGCGTAATTTCTATGATATATTATCTTGCATATACAATGTATAAATTCGTTACGTGCATTGCACTTTCTAATGCTTTCGAGTGTGAATTTTTCTATTAACATTCAGGAAAATGTAACACGAAAAAGGCGTGGTATGTATTTAGGGTAGAAATCCAGACACGAACAATAAGTTACATACCATTTAACATTTATGTTATGTTACGTAAAAGAAGCACAAAAAATACATAAAAAATTAACAAAAGTCATAATACTATCCGACACGTTGCTTTAATATCATTTTATTTGAAGAAACTTTATTTATTAAATCTTATTCAAAACATTCTTCTCAAATTATGTTTTTAATAAATAAACAAGAAAAGAATGCAATATTTTCAGTCGTTTAAATGACAGTAATTAAGTATTTCACCTTAGATGGCGCAACGTAAAGTGGCAGCCATATTGCCATAAAATTTTCGGTTCAAATTGCGCAACGTGCTTCTTCTCAATTAAGTTTTTAATAGTAAATTATTTAAAGAAATTCCTTTAATTTATGGTTGTTGTAATAACAAAGTTACAAGAGGATTGCAGTTTAGAATTTCTTCACGTTCTTTCAATTGGTCAAGACACTTGCAGGAAGAAGTTACAATCGGAAATCGTCGTTCGTGCCGAAGATCGTGTCACTGATCGGTTAAACGGAAATTGTTAATTAAAGGGGTTCCGTTTTATCCGTGTGTCTGGTGTCATCATCGATTAGAAACCGCGTTTCTAGCGGTTTAACGGCGTACAACGATGTCAGTAATTCATACTCTCTACAGCTGTTTAGAAGCGAAACCAACACAAGCCCGGCTTCGTGCTTTTACTCGCGCAGAATTTAAACGAGATTCGGGGAAAATGTCTCAAGGATGACATCGTATTACGAGAGCATTCAAATCAAGTAAGAAAATGTTAAGAATTACGAAACGCTAGTTGTATTGTCCATCAGAGACAAGGTGAAGATTTCGGTTACGAAAAGTATGGAATAAGAGGTACAAGGTGCACAAATAGGAATATAATTTTTCACAGAGAGAAATATTTATTTCCAATTATTAATGTGTACTTAAAATTTCTTAAGATTTACTACTTTTATTAGCATTTCTTTTTGAATCATGATTAGATTTATTGAGAACAATTCCTCGCTGTGTGTATGCTACATTTCTTAATTATATACAGGATTTTTATTGTAGAGTGACAAGAACAAATTTAATCTTTCCATCGAATTAAGTATTATGTGATACATGATAACACGTGTTCTTTAAATACAATACCAGACAGCAGTCAATTATTTCTTCTTCTTTGACTTAACGCTAACCTCGGACTGAGGTTTCTGCCATTCTACAGGCTTACGGCGGTACATGGGCCACGGTGGTACTGTAATTAGCGCAGCCATCACAAATCCAGCACCAAGAATATATATTGTTTGTGAAAATTGTTGGATAACGTATCCCCATATAAATCCAACTACCTACAATGTGAATTAGATATAAACAATATTCTACAAATACGTAGGGCATATATATTTTAAACGTAGTTTACTCCGAATAATGTTATGATAAGCCTTGACAATCTTTCTGCTTGGCCCTGACCATCATAGTCCTGAAAAGAAAATTAATAACAACTTACGTGAACAAATAAGAACACCTGTTGTGATAGATAACATAACCTCACTGCAGGGCGTTAAATACTTATTTAGGTGAAGTTAACACTATCTTATGGACAATTCGTAAACTTACCATATGCGTAGGGATGGAGGTAATATATTGCAACCACGAATTCATCGTAAATAAATAATTCAGACTACCCGGCAGGATTCGTGCGAGTAAACTTCAATTTCACTGATCGACGTACACAAAACGTTGACGTTGCTCGCGCAAGCGCAAAACATTCACGTGTTTCTCCGTGGCGCGACTTTCAATTATACCAATTCGAAATCGAATCTATTACAATCCCGAAAAAGCAATTGTTTAAAGTTGATTACACGCGTAACATACTTCTTTAAGATATTCTAACAGGAGACATTCAATTACAATATATAAATAATATAAATATTATAGTTTATTTTTTCGACTTTTACAAAGTACAAATTGTCGTTGCACGAATGACTTACTTCAACAAGTAACAAGTAATCAATTATATTACATAAATTAAATAGACGCGGAGTATAAATAATACATCGTTGAGCTTTGTTACAAACAGTCGCGTATTTTTAAAAGGGTCCTTGCATAATTCAAGTACGAAAGAATAGTACTCGATTCGACGTTATTTCGCAGTCTAGAGTGTCATAATTGACAGTGTTCGGTGTACCTGAGAATTAAAAATTTAATCACAACAGGAAAACAATGTTTATTTTTACAATAACATCAGACTGTAGTGTTGAGTATCCGCTCGTGTTTCTAGCGATGCAATTGCATACAACTATGTTAGAAATTCGCGTTTCACAGTGATGTTTAATGACGAGACAGACACGTGCTTCTGCATGCACTGAATCCAAAACGAGATCGTGATAAAATATCTATGGGCATGCCAGAGCATCGACATCGAGCAAGAAAATCAAATGGTTGAGTTTACGAAACGACGATTCCATTACTTTTTTATGTAATTTTCCTGTATAGGGCTACCTTACTAAAAATCTACAAACTTAGCATTTAAGATCACTAGTGTCCACGAGGTTTATGAACTATTTGTAGTAGACGATGTTTTATTTTGTCTGTACATAATTAAATAAATATTCAAATGCTAAAAGACATTAAATTGCAATCATAATAATTTGCATACGTTGATTTCATCGATCATCTATGATTCCAAATAAATCTTTCCCCAACTCTGACAACGAGTTGCACCGGGTCAGACGTTTTAATCAGCTTCGTCCAATCTCTATCCTAATCCTAGAACAACATAGAAATATTCCTCCTGTAGGACTTCGTTTATCGTAAAATCGATCCAACGTGTCGAGGTACCCTGATTGAGCAGCTTATCTTTGGAAGCCATGAATGAACGTTCCCCCTGTCCGTGTCGATTGGTATTCTAGATCACAGTCGCGCGATAGAGGTGCTCTCGTGCACGTTCGAGTTCCACGCCAACGTGGAGGACGGCTCGTTGTTGCATCTTGCAAAATGCACCGCGTCCGCGACGGTGGGGAACATCGCGAACAGGTCTTCCTTGCATGTAGGCAGTCCGCACTTTCTCATCATCTCGTACACAGGTCCTGCAATGCGTCAAATCGGACGTTGAATATGTGTTGCGTTTCGTATCGCGTGCACCGATTGTCGATGCTTACGTTTCTGATCGGTACCCCTTCCTGCACGCAATAAATCAGTGTTTTTTAAAGTGTGAGTCTTTTACTAACCCAAAGGTACCACGAAAAAAATCGTTTGCAAATTAAGTCGTAAGACAAGTTACTTTTAATTAGCGTTAGAGGGGCACCTTTCAGAAAGTTTGTAAACTATGGATAGATAAATCGTATTCACCACAACAGCCTGCGACGTATACGGCGATATCGACCTCGTTGTACTCGTTGATCAAATTTTTTACGGTTGTTGCACCCGCCAAGTCTATGTGACTCAATGCGGTGAAGTCCAGTATCAGGGTTTGTAACTGCAACGCAACGAGGAAATTAACATTCTCGTGACTCGATTACGCAACACCGCGTCTCGTGGTTTGCAGACGTTTGGAGTCGATGAATTATAGCGGCGATTGTCTGTCGTCTAGCGAACCTCCGCGTTATTTAAGATCCCGCGATCGACAGCGAATTAATTGCTAATGAATAAACATATATGTATAACAGAATACACGCTGGAAGACGTACAATGTTCTATTCCAAGCGAATTTTACAATTTATGTTAGTTGTGTTATTTTTCTAAAAGATCTGAATTTGTTTACGAATTATTTCCGTTAAAGACAAACACGCTTTGTTTGCTCGACGCGATTTTTTTGGCTCATGCTAATGACTAGCATTTAACGCGTTAATTGTCATCGCGAAGGTCGGCGCTTCGTGCAATTTCTTGTTTTAAAGAAATACCAATTTTGACAAGGAAGAACAAGCTTAAGTACAAATTAACTTGTACTGAAATTACAAATTCATAAATTCACATTGTGAAAAGGATATTACCTTTTTAATTTCCCTGAGTTCGTCGTGCTTGAAGCCCGCGATCGATTCCTTCCTCGGCGTCAGACCGGCGACTTTGTGCACCTGGTCACGGAAGTACTGCCGACAGGCGAAGTTCAAGCTTCCGGAATAGTGGAATATCTTTATGCCGGCCAGCTCCACGGCCTGAAACAACGCAACTCTCGTGTTAAGAACTTCCGCGAAACGGTCGGGTCCGGCCTGAGTGTCGTGGAAATGTTGCGATATAAAAGTGAAACGCGAATAATAAATTCGTTTCGAACGAACTGAGCCCAAGGAGGTGAAAGTGGCAATAGAAGAGGTAAAAATCAGCTAGATAAGAGTGTACTGCTGTTACTCCGTACGCTTTTGTATCTCTTGATATCCAGATAAAGCTCGGTACCGGGCACTAGAGCGAGCGTGCAGGTGTAAGGTTGCACGGAGAAGAGGACCAGTTTGCCCACGCAGAGGATGATCCCCAGTAGCAGGCCGTATTCGACGTCCATCAGGACCACGGTGGTGAACGTCATCGCCCAGATGGCACCGTCCATTTTGTCCAGTTGCCAGAACCTTTTGAACTCCGTCACCTTCATCAGCATCCCTTTCAACGCCACCACGATTATACTTGCCAGAACGCACTGGTCAACAAAGAGGAATTTTATGTTTCAACTAGAGTCTACTTGAAGAAGAGTCTACCTTAATATTAAGTACAACTCGTATAAGAAAGTATTTTATTACGAATGATTTGAAATTGCCCACCATATTGTCTCAAGCGCTTAGCACCGCCAGGCAATAAGACAAATAAAAGTAAACGCGACAACAATGTGTCGTAATATATTTTTTCTTCAAACTTGAAGTGAAACGTGCTCGATGTCGCCATAATAAGTTGCAGGGTTTTCTGAAAAGGCGAACCAGGAAGTTGCACAAACAAGTCGAGAATGTAGAGCCTATTCGATTCCTATTGTAAGGTTGAACACCCGAACGATCTAAGTTAATTTAAGATCACATTGTATCTATTGTCTCAGTGCTTTTTATTTGATATATCTCGCGTGAAAATTACACAAATTTAGATAGCAGGCTGCATCGCATCGTGCCTGAGGAAATAATCGCTACTTCGAGTCAAGGGTCATCTACTATCCGAGGACTCTGACTTCATCGAACGATTTCACGTACTCGATCGAACTTACCCGTGGTAGAGGCTCGAAGAACGGGCCGATCCACAGCAGCACGCTGATTAAAATCCCGCAAGATATCAAGCTGGCCAGCTGAGTGTGTCCACCGACAGTCTGCTGGATCAAGGATCGCGACAGCGAAGCTGTGAAAGGCATGCAAGAGAAGAAGGATCCGACGAGGTTACCTGTGCCCTGAAAAACATTTCCACAGAACGTCTTTCAATTTCAGATTTATCGTCTCTTGTTAGTGATGGGACCGAGGTACGCTTTGGTACCAATAAATGGTACTTAGGAACGTTATCTATTAGAGTCAAGCTCAATTATTACTGTGGATTTGTGAAATTTATTACAGAGAGGCGATCTGTTAAAGTCTATGTTCTATGAAAACTAATAACACATTTAACGTGGTTAATACTTCAGATGCTAAATGAAATTGTAACGTATTTAAATTCAAATAATCTTTAATCATAAAAACAGACTACTCCGTTATCTCATTGAGGTCTTAACGATACTTGACGCTGGAATTATAACGATACTACAAGGAATAAGTACGTCTTACTAATATGAACTACTTATTTCGATGATTGATCGACGTATCGACACAATGCAATATCGATACGTATCGGTATTGGTGAGCACATCATTGGATTAGCCCCATCACTCATAACTAATCAAAATAAAGAGAGGACGTAGTTTTCTTTTATATTTTCAATATTAATTGGTAGAAGTGTTATTTTTGGTCCCACAGACTGCGACATTTACATTATCGCGGCCAAGGAGTTAGCCTTGCCAGATCAAAGAGATCTACTAGACCCGAACTAGGTCACCTGTGACTCGAATAATAGAGTTTGAATCGAAGTGCATCGGATCGCGAGGTCTTGCGCGATCAAGGCGTCGGCCATTGCGGAACTGGATCTCAAGTTCGGTTCAGAAATGCCTCGAAACCGGAACTAGGTCGAGGGTCGAAGCGCTAATTTACATAAAACGATATGGCGTAGAATGTCTAGATTTACCTGTGCCATTAATTCCTGGTTCGAGTCCACCTCGTAACCAAGTTTTTGCGCGAAAATCAGCGCCATGGACATGGATATCGTGTAAGAGACCATCGTGATCACGAAGGAATCGACTAGAATGTACGGTATCAACGACATCGGTGGTACAGATGGAACTGGCAAACTGGAAATGAGACGAAAAGAAATTATCAAGATGGAATAAAGATCGTTTGTTATATTTTTGAAGAAATATTATTACCCTACTGGTATGTGACCGACGGTCACGATTTTGTAAGCGTCTTCGAGATTCATGTACACAGACAGAATAGTGCCGATGATGACCGCCATCATTTCTATGGGAACGGGGAAAGGACTCAGTTTCGCAACCTTTGGCTAAAAATAAAATTTTACCGTTGATTTCTCCAGTTTACGTTTAAAAAGTTACTCGTGCTAGTTATAACGTTTTGATCTTAACTTTGCGATCCCTCGTCAGTAAATAATTCACTGGTGTACAATTATTTCTACAACACAAATTTTTCATTTGTCACTGCGTCTAAGTAAAGAAAATAACTTGGGTTGCTAGTTCAACGATACGGGGATTTTTTTCAATGGAATATTTCAGTCATAGAAACGGTATTGCTTTTAGGGTAACCTTCAAGAAATTGTTGATAACGAGGATGACTATGGTGACACAGGATAGCAAGATGGCGACCCAGTTGACGTTATAGATATTGTTGATGACGTCCAAGTAAGTCTGAAATAAATGCAAACAATGGAAATTCGAATTTTAATGGTTTTCTAGTTTAATAATAAAAATTCGAATACTAATGATATTAGTATGATTTGGTGTCTTCGAATCAGGCATTTTTAAACAAAATCTTTAGCCTTGATAAGAATGTCTGTTTTGTCAATTTTCTTGTTTAATTTATTACGCGCAGCTGTGTGTTTGGTGAAATGATTATTTAACGTTTCTTAAGCCACTATTATGTGTCGGAAACGACCAATGGAATAATTGCCAATGGGACGATAACTTCGGTCGACTTATTTGGCACGAAAGGAAGTGAAGCCAGTCTGTGGCCAATTAGCGACTTTTACTTTTCGATTATTACGGTTTTTCCATCCCAATGATGCAAGACCAACCGGAAATGCGGCCGGATTGCCTTGTAAATCCTCAGCGCGAACGGAAAGCCTCCGAGCATCGAAAACAAACCATCACATTTTCCTACGCGATTTTTGTAATTTATACTGACGTACTCTGATCGTTATACTTTAATTTCGTCGATAATTTCTAATCAGAGACGAGTCTGGAATCTTTTAGAAAATATTCGAATATTAAGTTTCTCGAATAGTCCCAGTTCTAGAGTTTAAAAATTCTTTCTCCTTCGATCGGAAGGACGTATAAGTTCAACGATCGTTTTCTCGTTTAAATGCTATGCGTGAGCGGATAATGAACCGGAGATTTCGAATTGAGGTCTATCGATACGTTTCGTTGAACGTTCAGGGAAAAACAAATTTGTACGAAAGCGAATCTCAAGGATCGTAATTTCCTACGGCGATATAACGATCGATAAAACTCGTATTATCACCGTATTACTAGCCCACTTTCCTAATAGTGCTTCCTGCAGGCTGCAAATTATCACGAGGATCGCGGTGGAACAGTTTTCCACTGAAACTGTGCAAGAAACGTTCGTTTAATCCTCTATAAAACGTTGATATTCTAAATGCCATTTATGGATGTTCAGATCAGGGATTGAAAACTATTATGAATTCAAATGTATATATGTATTAATTATCCATAAATTTATATTAAATTATTATTTCCTCGAATATGAAGCATATTTGTCAGCGTTGTTAACTATGTGACTGTTTTCTACATTCGATAGAGCTATTTTATTTCAATCACAGTATACAGGGTGTTCGAAATAAGACGAAAATCAAGAATATCAAATTGTTGATTGAGGTTTCTATAAATGTTACTAAAAAATTTCAAATCATTCACGAAAAAATTATTTTTGGCTCCGGGGGTCAAGTACAATCATTTTTGGTGAATAGACGTACCCCCATAATCCTAACCATTTTCGAGAAAAAAATTCAGTAAGTGGACAAATTTCTCGGCGAAAAAAAAAATTTCAAATCGTTCTGAAAAAATTATTTTCGGTTACGAGGGTCAACTACAATTATTTTTGGTGGATAGACGTACCCCCGAAATCCTTCGCACTTTCGAGAAAAAAATTGGAGTAGGTGGACAAAATTGACAAAATCTAAAAATTTCAAATCGTTCTGGAAAAATTATTTTCGGTTACGGGGGTCAATTACAATCATTTTTGGTGGATAGACATACCCCCGAAATCCTCCGCACTTTCGAGAAAAAAATTGGAATAGGTGGACAAAGTCAACAAAATTAAAAAATTTTAAATCGTTCTGGAAAAATTATTTTCGGTTGCAGGGGTCAATTACAATTATTTTTGGTGGAGAGACATACCCCCGAAATCCTACGTCCTTTCGAGAAAAAAAATTCTTTACCAAAAATATACTGTGTGGCCGGAAATGATTTTCGTCTTATTTTGGCCACTAGAATCTCCCATTAAAATTTTCTCCAGGGGTGGCCGAACACCCTGTATATTACCGATTATGTGCGTGCTTTGCGTGATCGTTGCAACAATAAGAAAACAGACGGCGTTTGTCAAGCTTGTCGACGAACGACCGCACGTCGTTAACGCGTGAAAAAATTCGCCTCGCCGTAGTTTCTCTAACATGTTACTTCACGGCGAACGAATGCACGGTGATTATGTGCATTTCTAGCGGTGAAAGGTTTAATTTTCAATTACGGTGTCGTAACAGGTGATCGATGAAAAGCGCCAACGATAAAGTCACGCCGACATACAACTGGCTTTGAGATGATATCTCTTTTCGATAGAAAATTATCGATAAGATACTTATTATTCACCGAGACCTCACGCTTGTGCTCAAGACGCGAACGCAAAATATTTATTCAGTGGGTGGGCACAGTTGGCGCGAATCAGGAGACACGTTAATTAACTTGTTACGAATTAATTTCTGTCGTAATATGGGGCACAAAATGGAGACGAAAATTGTAATGCAATTGAGAGTGAAACTTTTTGATCACTGATGTGACACGATAATTAAAGTTGCAGTCATATTGATATATCATTTTCATCAGTGGATGAAATTCGATGTTTCGTGTACGAAAAGATTCTATTTTAATTATTCGAAGAAAAATTGTTGGAGTAATGTGAAGAATGTTTAAATATGGAGCTCACCAGGATCAATTTGAAGGGTCCCTTTCGTCTGGGTAGGCCTGTAAGTCCTAACAGATCTTTCACCTGCGACGTGAACACGTGGATGGCCGCCCCTGTGGTAAATCCGCTGACGAGACTGTCCGCAAGCAGAGACGCGATGACGCCCAACCGCAGCACGTACATCCCCAGCTAGGACACGAGAATCTCGTTCTGGATAAGTCGCCGTCCTGTTCCAACAGGCTAAGGAAGAAAAGACGAATTGGAATAACTACCTGAATCATAGCGACAGTGAACGTGACCGCGGTTGCAACTTCCACGGGCGTATATTGATTGTCGGTGGCGAGCAACGACTCGTTCTCCGCGGTTCCGTTGCTGGACGATTGTCCGTGAGTGCTGTACGTCGAGACCACTTTTCCGGTCATCATGCAAATCAGCGCGAACGTACCTTGACACCAGGAACAGAAATTCAAATCGAACCATTATCAGAAATCAAAATAAAAAAAGGATTAAATTTTCCAAGGAATAAAACGAACACAACCTAGCAACCACACGTGAGATTCACATACTGTAAAAAAATTGTTGTTTCTGTTATTTTACTTGAAATATAAAATTAAAAGGGTGTTATTATTAATTGGAAACTTTCGTTGATAGTCGTTAGTTGTTTATGAGTTCGAGAAGGTCCCCATCATAATAAATTAGTCCGCAAACACGCACATCAACAAAGAGCCTATTCCGCTATCTACGTTAATTGCGCGCGGACTCAAATATTTGATAGGAAGTCGTAACCCTTGCAGAGATGATTCCGGGAACAGGAAGAGGAATAAAACGCCGCGGTAGGATTTCAGTGCGTTAAATAACAATTTCGTGGTCGTATTGGTAAATCTAACGACGTTAGAAAGCCGAAACGAAAGTTAAAAGGAATGCTGCCTGTGTGTGGATACGAAAGGACACGATCGGCTCTGCAAACGGGGACCATTTACTACTGTAATCGATTCGAAGCTTCCACATTGCGCAATATCAGTCCTCGAATCGCTGTACTATGACTTTACTTACCCATTGAATTGTGCCTGGACGTTCCTAGAAAGAGGTAAACGAGAACGGGGAAGAAAGCCATGTAGATGCCGACTATTGGCGGCACGTTACCCAAGATTGCATACGCCATTCCTACAGAGAAGACGCATTCGTTACGATTCAAATTATAGTGTCTGGTTTGTTTCATACGAATCTACGTAATACGGAAGAAATTAGTTGCATCTGAAAACCACAATCTTGACAAGAAACCTTTACTCCCCCAACTAGGAGTTAACTTGATTTGTATTTTTATTTTTGACGAATTTACTTCGAAACGAATAATAATGAAGGTCTAACTTTTTTTGTGAATATCAAGGATAGCGAAAGAGATAAAATTTCATTTGAGTAATTATTTGCATTGTAATTAATTTCAAAGTATAATTTAGTGCAAGCGTCATCGCGGTAGATTAGCAACAAGTGTTTTCGGTTTTGTTAGCGAAGAAGCGTATTTTCATACACGGTTGATCGCGAATGATGCGAAAATGGCGAACGTACCTTGGGGTATATGCATCACTGCGACAGTAATTCCAGCGATGATGTCGCCCAGTATGTCGTTTTTCCAATCGTACTTCGATAACCAGTCGATAAGGGGTACCGAATTCTTCAAAACCGTCAGAGGCTTGATTTTCTTGCATCTCGACGATATGCTCTGCAAAACTGTCCCATTTGTCATTATTAAATAAGGAAAGCGAGGATTTTGTTTCTCCTCGTTATAAATTTCGCAAGTTTTCTGTTTTATATAACGTTTATTGCATTACAGCAACGACAGTTAAATATTTAACGGTAATACATACTACTTTAACGTTAGGTTTTTAAATATACGTCAAAAGATACGTTATCATAGTCTCAAGAGTAGTGTTATTTTCTTTAACGTGTCCATTACTATTACGTTTGTCCTTAGTTATGCCAAACTCTATATATCATGTTATCGTTAACTACTAATGTATGTAATTATATTTTGCGTTTGTTTATTAAAAAATGAAGAATTTTGCTAAATAAAAATAGCACAATTTTTAAAGACCATGCTATTATTACTAGAATGTTAATTCTGGGAGCCCAAGCCTTAAATTATATTGTATTAATTTAATAACACAGTGTTTCATACGATTTTGCCAGCATCAATACTTGGAGGAATTACATAATTTATTGCAGATATAAATATGCTCTTCACAGTTAAAATTTTAAAGGCATAGTCGTGTCATCAGTAGGGAAATGTTCTTTGACATTCTTGTTGATCGAATAATATAGTATAATTCCAGCAAACAGACACGTGCAGCGATTTCATTTCCCAGTGATACTAAAGCAGCGATAACACACCAACTAGATACCGAGAGTGTTCTGATCTCTCGACGAGCACTCTAGAGAAAAATAATAACTCGTGCGGGTCGTAGTGAGTTAGACACGATAGTCACAGCTATTATAAAGAAAAATTACTCGACAGTATCTAGGTTCTATTTATTTATAGAAATACATTCCTCTTTAGCAAGTTGATAAGTTCAAATAAAATATAATTGCTGTTTTAATTTATCGTTTCTTTTACAATCTATTTGAGAAATTAATGTTAAAGTGGGAGAGGCAAGACTTAACTTTAATTTAAGTTTTAAATAGTGGAATTTTGTTGGAATGTTTGAACAAAGAAATTACTATCTTGACCCTGTTTAGGAGAGAAATGTATGTGGGAAACCATTTATATTAAAAGTGTGTTTTATTATTTGGTCTCGAATATACCTAATAGAATTTTTTGTATTCCACAGAATTGATTTTTTCGAATTAGAAAATTTATATTGTACATTTGACATTCGACGATATTGTGTATAAGTATAGGCATAGTTCTCTTATTTAATCTGAAACTGTTCTTTCTATCTCCCTGCATTAGGGGTGTCTATCGCTCAGCGTGCTCCGACCGCAGAGGTTAAAGACAAAGTTGGACAATTTTATTCTAGAACAGCGAAGAAAAATTCAAGATTCATTTGTAGTCATTTTTGCATTCTTTCTCTTCGACATTCCCCATTTTTTCTAAATTTCTTATAACCGTAGAACTCCGAAAAATACTCAGTGATAAATAGCACATAGAGAAGCATACAACAAATAAATGTTAATCTCAAAGTTCATCAAAATTGAAATTCCCTCTCTTCCCATGGATTCTTCAGATATAAAATTCATCCACTGCTAGCTATTGTTGAATCTCAACCTTCGTTTTTTGCATTTGCAATTTCTGCACTCAGCCAGACAAAGCTCTTTGTCTGATATTGAACATTGGAACATTTCATAGACATTTAAAGTTTCTTTTCGTATAGTCAACCAATGTTTTCATATATTTAAAATAGATAAGGTGTTGTTAGTACACCAACAGCTAACAATCTCAACCTAGCTACTTGGTCCATTGCAAAGGCATAAGGTGGTCCAAATTTACAATTCTCTCAGCCAACTATCGCTCTTCGTCTGATATCGAACAGTGGAATGTCCAAGACGTTCAAAGTTTCTTTCGAACAGTTAATTCGTGCCTTTACATATTCAAAATAGCCAAGGTGTCGTTAATGAACGAACGATTCGATCCCAAAAAGGATACTTACGTGCCTGTTTGGGCTTGACGTATTTGTACAGGTGATTGAGCTCGTCCTGTTGATAGATCGGCCTCCTCACCGTTAATTCCGCCGTGATCGCCGACATCTCGTCGCTCTGATAGTCTGCGAATAATTGGCAACACGTGAACCTCGGATGTTTAAGCGTTCTATTTAATACGTTTTGGCACGTGCAACTGCATTCGTTCGGGCACGTTCGAACGTCGCCCGCGTCTCGTAAATCGCGTCTACGTTGCGGATCATCGGTAGCAACCGTGAAACGTATACCGGCTAAGCTGTTTGTTTATGTGCTACTAGTCAACCGCAAACAAGTGTGCTCGGAAGTTGACGGATAACGCGGTTTATCGCCTGCGGAAACGGTGTTTGCGCAAAACTGGCCGAACGTGCACGCGGCCGCGACAATGGCAAACAGAGAAATGTGATCGGCCACGTGGTAGAGCGCGAGAGGGAACTTTCCACTTTTTAGATTCTTCGTCACGATTTCACGAATAGCACGCAGTTGAATGGCCACTAACAACCAAAATTCTTCGATGCATTCGTGTTTTAATCCTCATCCTCGCTGAATCTGAGCCTTTCCTTAAACCCTTGACGCTTTCCAGGCTGCGTGGAACTTTCCTTTCGTTATTAAATGTAATATTTTTAGAATCTAATAGAATATTTTTAGAATAGAATTAAATGTAATATTTTAGATCAATTATTTCGATTTTCTTTTCAAACTTATTTGAAGACTGGTACACTCGTATATCATATGGATAACAATCAAGATTGAAACGAAAATAAGCACAATTTTTGTTGCCTTAATTGAAAGAATTTTGAATAGACAGAAAGGAAAAGTAATAATCGTAATTTCAAATAAATCTGATTCGTGATAAGTGATTTATTAGAAATATAGTACAATTACATGAAATCGAGTGTTCGGATACTGGAGGCTGTACTGCATTTTTCTTACTTGTGTTACGCAAAATGTACGCTGATTACACTGTACAAATTAATTGCACCATAACTGCACGTTAATTATACGGTATAACGACACACGTTTACGACTAAAAAGCAATTACACCGCAATTACCGTGCAATTTCAATGTATTATATTGTAGTTACTTTGTAGAAGCAATTATGACGAATGTAATCAGGTTACACTTTGCTCAACATGAGTTTACACTGACGCTACCAGGTTTTTGCGACCCGTGGAACAACAAACAATCGTAAACTATCACCTTGGTCGGCCCTGAACGTGCCATAAGAACGTTGGTCGTTCATCTTCGGTAAATCGAAGGACTAATCACGTTCGACTAAGTAAATAATCCCCACTGAACTCGAGGATCGTCGCGATGAATTCGTAAAGTCCTCGGACGGGCACAGTCGACCTGCGATCGTGACGGGCAGAACATAACAGAAACATCGGAAAGCAAATCACGATACGTCGTACTCGATAAGATATAACTATAATATTTTATCTCAGAACACATTCAATCGGTAATTTAAATGTGAGTGATGGTTTGTATACTTTCAAACACTTCTTTTGGGGACTCGTATTGTAATCGTCCACCAAGTAATCTTGTCGATAATATTGTATTGTGCAATCTTGGACTTGAGTATTTCCAAATAAATTCTTTCGTTTTCATTAAATATTCTTTGCAATGATCGATGAACTTCTTAAGTCTTGGACCATTTAAAAAGAAAAAATAAATACAGATATTAATACTTTTACTGTTGAATAAACAAGGTGTTTCGAAAATGCAAAATCTACACCTGAAAAGAAATTCAAGAGTCTAAAATACTGTAGTTGTTTTATATTTTAGTTGTTTATTATTTTTAAGAAAGTCTTTTCTTTCTTCTATATTTGTACACCTGTCGAGACAGTCTGTACTTTAAATTGAATCTTATTCGTAGCGACAGATTATTTAGCAGCGAGGAAGATCTAAACTCGAAGAAATGTGAACATGGTTCTTTGTTTAACATGTTTGAGCGCGGAAAGAATATGATCCGATAAGACACGTATTAAGAATTCCACTCCCAACACATACATGCTATATCTTAACTGATTCTTTGTACTCGTTGTAAGATCAGGATTTTCTATATGCCATATGTGCTCGTTATGCCGATTAAATATTCCACTGTCGGGAAGAAGCACTTGTCTGTCCATGAAAATAAAATTGCAGAAATTTTCAGGTTGAACAATCAGTCATTATTAACTCTTGTTTGTGGTGACTGTATTAGTATGCAAGTTAAATTGTTATTAGAGTCACATTGCTGTAATTAAATAGAAATTCTCATTGTCACTTTCTAACAATATTTGGTTTCTAAGATTGCTTTTATCTTTGCTTATCATAGAGCTTGTTGTATTTACTTTCTAGTTTATTTCAATACTTCTGTGTTAGTTTGGTTAATTATAATATTTAAAATCAACTTCAACGTATTCTAAATAACATTGAATTTAAGGCTAATACAATCAATTCCTTTTGTTCAGTGACAAGTAACAATTATCAGTCAAACGACAAATGTTTTCGACCACTTTTAGTTACACGATTATTAGGCAATTATAGATGTGAGATATGACGCGACGAAATATTATTTGAAACATGATAAATACTTTGTGTTATAAAAAGCTCCGTCTATTAAAACGTTTATCCTTGTTTAAACTTCGAGTAGGTGATAATTTTGAAGTGATCGTAACAATTTAATCACCTATTGTACTGATACAACAAAAAAAGAAGTATCTACTAGTCAACAATTTCAACAACAAACACCGATTACTCAAAGAAAACATTATATTATAGAATAACAGAGGTCATTGAACTGTTCAAAATTTTCCTTCACGACTTTTTTTTATCTTTATTTAGAATAGAACTATTGTAAAACAAATTCATTATTAAAATTCATTGAGCAGTTTAATCGCATCATATCTTTCTCTATATGCTAATAAGAATACTAAGTAATAAACTGAGTCACGTTTTTGTTGAACTGTTAAACAAAGACATAACCGCAAAGAGCATCGACTTTTACTGCATGTAATTATTTATAATTTCTTTAATTTTGCTTAAAATGTAAAGAAATAGAAGTCATGTTTTTATATGGTTGGAGTATATGGTTGTGCTTATTAATATAATTATAAAGACACTGGACAAAATTTTTCGTTTAGTTTCTTTCACTAGTACACGAGTTATCAGCAATGCTGTATCAAAAGTGTCATCGTAATCGGTGACCATGATCCATTAATTAGAAAAGACAAGTACACACATATTATTGTTCTATTAGAGTGTAACTTTCGTCTGACATAGAAGAAATGAAAAAACTCAATAATTGACAAAATAACGGGCACTTTTACTAGCTTTTCACCTTATTTTTGCGTTACAAAAATTTTTTAATGTATTTAGGTAACCATAGTTTACACATAAGCAAGTAAAATTTCAAGTCGATCAATTATTTAGGTACTGTATTCGTCACTTAAGAACATATCAATTCGAGAAAAACACTTAAATTTTTTTATTGTAATTTTCACTCACTATTTTAGTAGACAATTTCAATTTTTAATACAAGCATGTACAATATTTTTGAACCTGTCGAACCTGACAGTAAATGGTTTTTTCTATACAAGTCCTTAATTTTACAATGTATAATACAATTCATAGATGTAGATCTACATGTATAATTATGGAACTATAAAATAATGATAAAATGTTAAAAATACTGCCTTAAAGATCAAAATTGTCCATTGTTTTCGATCGTTCGAAAGCTCTTTGTTTGGGTTGACGTTTCAGTTCTACGCTTCGTGAAAAGAAAATCGATTTTTCAATTACGAGACACGAGAGAACGGTTTTAATGAATCGAACAGAAAACCTGTCATCGTGGCGATGAGATGGAACTCCGTGACGTTGACGCGAGCAACTTTCGGACGCTGAGACGCTTCGGAGCGATGAGGCGGGAAAAGATCGACCCGGATCGAAGTCACGAGGAGTGATAACGCGCGCGTCGTCTATCGCTTACTAACGAATCGAAGGTAACGAGAGTGAATGTTCTCGTCGGTTGCATTTTTCTTTGGCATTTAGTCACGTGTCAGTAATCGGGATGCTAAGCAGACGAATAAACGAATTTCTGTGTCGAGGAGAGACGTACGTAACGCCGTGTGTATAGCATCACGGCCGACCGTGACGACGCACGTGAAATCGCGATTAACTGATTACTCTCCCGGGAAGTAAAGTAAATTCCTCCATCGCGAAAGGGTAATTGAGACAGTGAAATTGTCCAAAAACGGAACGAATATTCTTTCTTGCAATTTGATCATTGAACCAGTCCCCAGAAATTTAAAAAAATATGTAGATTTATAAAATTCATTGTACTTTGCTTGTTATGTATTTAAAATAATATTAAAATTAAAGTCAATATCAGAAATTCGTATTATCCATCCTAGACTATTATGAACGAAGGGGTATGTTTACGTTTTATGATTCTGTTGTGAAAGTTGTTTAACAATTATTCTTACCGTACAATAATAAGCGGCAGACCGGTTTTTGTGGGATTGTTCGAATAATTTGATTTTAATATTTTGCCAACTGGAGGTTAAAGTTGTTTTGAAAAATCGGTCATTTTACTGTTTTCCTCATCGCGTCGTGATGGACCTTAGCATTCCTAAAGAAGGACGATCGTGTTGGGACTGATAGAAGCGTATCCCCGCTTTCAAGTGACAAGATGGAGGCCACCGTTGCACTTGAAAGCGGGCTAGGTGGTGATTTTTGATAGCGAATGAATCTTTCATTATGTATGCTCCATTTTAAGTAAACTATTTCTAATTATTCGTTTCGATACTTCAATTCGTACAGTGTTGTTTTTATTTATAAACAGATACATACGTCTCAGAAAATACGATAAGACGAAAAAATTGAATTGGAGATCGAAGCGTTTAATTAGTATCGTTCAGTGCGATAAAGTGCTTAATAGATAACACTTGAAGAGCTTGTACTGTCGACACTTCAACTACGTTAGGTCTTTGTATTTTATATCTTCTTTGATCCTCTGTAATCCAAAGTTCTTCGAACCGACGTGTTTACTGGAATATATTCACTTATTCCGATATGCAGACGCAATTTTATGCAATGATGATTACATTTTCGAGCACGTTTCGTGAAATAAAATTCTATATTTGTACTATTATTAGTATTGTACCAAAAGTCGAGCATCGAGTTCTTTCTTTCATGGTGGAAATGTAGAACGATAATCCCCCACATTAAAATCTGGCAACAAATCGGTCGTAACTAGCCACACTGACCTATTTCCGCCCCGAATGTCATGCCAAAAATATTCGAGGGTATTTTCACCGGCAAATTGTGTTCCCTAGTGTCCAAAACTATTTTCAACGTGCAGTATTCATGTCTAGGAGACTCGTTAGCGCTACTTTCGCGAAATTTTGCAACCGTCCGTCTAAACTGCATTCGATACAGGCTACCGAGCTGGTGCAGTTTATACAGACCTCATAAAAGCCTTTCACAGCGTCGATCCGAGTTGCATTCAGTAATTAGCCCGTTTAAACCGAATGGGCTCATTACTAGGCCAATTATTCTCGGTAAAATTTAGGTAATTGCCCCTAGGGCGATCAGTGAGATTTCTCCCTCCGTTTCAACCAAAATTATGCATCTTTTTGGACGTACAGATCTCGGCAACGGAATATTTGCAAACTGGTAAAAAATTTTAATAGCAAAGTTTGTATGAAACATATGCTTGTTTGACTCACATTTTCACTTATCATAAATTTCTTAAGAAATTTAATTTCTGTTAATTTCTGTTTTTGCGGAATAATTCGTAATATTTTCCTAAATTTCTATGGCGAATCTTCACTGCCACAAAATTAATTACAGAACTAACCATTGTACGACACTTTCGTGTTATTCTCGCGTATACTAAGGGGGTTTTATCGAGGCGATAAAACAAAAAATTTTAAATAAGTAAAGCTCGTAAAAATCGGCCGCAACGAGAGGAAATCCCCGCGTTCCTCGTCGTCGTTTCGAGCTTATCGCGTCGAACGCAGACGTTCAATAAAATAATTGTCGAGCTTACCGATAACTGAACAGCACTCACGAGTTCGACTTAAGTCAGGTTAAATTCGACGGGTGTATCAAATTCTCCGTCAGTTGGTCGCAGCTTCTCGACGAAAGTTCATCGCTCGAGGAGCTAGGAAGAATCGAGGCTCGTCAGTGAGCTTCTACGCGTGGAAACGACACCGATAATCTCATGTCACGATAGCGATCGACGAATGTTAACACGCGTCCCGTCGAAGGTGCACTAAAATCGCGATACATGCAGGAAACGTTAGGTATCGGTTGGATTTCACTCTTGATCACGGTAGATCGAGCAAGCGGATCACCGCGAAGGCGTTTCTGCCGCTTGTGTCGCGTTTCTCGTTCCGCTGAATCGACGAGGACACCCGTTCTCCCGAACATTTAATCTAACGTGTCACCTCTCGAAATATTGTTGAAATTTCGTAAAAGTGTCTTAGGTTGACAGACGTATCGCGGGCACCGGAGCCTGGAAATTTATGGTTGTCGCTGCTCTTATCTGTTTCATCTATTCTAACGGCGCGCCGTGAGACAGAGTCCCGAAAAGTTGGTCGAAATTCTAATTTCCACGCTCCCTTGGAAACGAATTTTAGCCCCGATCGATGGAAAAGAGGGTGAAATTTTTGGCTACCTTTCATTTTTTAAGTGGATCGAGTTCTCCATCTTTTAGTCCTCCATTCGAAAGGCAATCAGAGTCTGAGTACACGCGACACACTGAGAAAAGTTAGTCAAAAAAAAAAAATAACTCTATTTCCTAATAACAGAAACAAGTGACATTCGCTTGGAAAGTTTGATATTGGCGCCAAAGTCTGCTATAAAATACTCTGAAAATTAATAAAAGATTCATTGAACAAGAATAGTACTCGGATAAATTGCAATGTTAATCACTGTCGAGTCTCTGTGTATTTGTTTAAGAGAGAATGTCCACGAGGCGATGTTACAATTCTCGTTGTTTTGAGTCTTCCAAGACATCTGTCCAGTAAATCATTAGATGACATGCATTTATTTCTGTATTTTATCAGCTGATGATGAGTCACCAGAGAACTTTTTTCCTTATCTTCAGCATAATGTAAAAAATCAACAATATTCAAATCCATTTTTTGAATTTGATAAAAAATATTTTGCACGCTCATTATTCATACTAGATATAATGAAAAAAATTATATTATACCTGTTAGAAAAAATTCCAGGTAACCGAAGTATGTTCTGTGTGCCGAACTATTTTTCTACGCACGACTAAGTATGACTATTTATATTTCACTATCCTATTTACGCGATCGAAAATCAATATCTGCACGTTCGAAGGTCTATTTAAATGCTGATTTTTACCACTGGTGTACAATTTTCGAGGCCAGTAGTTAGCATATACAGACACGTATTTATATGATATTTTTGTTAGCATTTTAAAGTAGAATCTATTTAGTATGACCTGTTGTTTTAGGAGTAGATTGTAGATTGTGGTGTGTTCCTTTCATAGAAGCTACTTTTGTCGCCCGCCGCGAAGCAAACATCAAACATTTCAATAAACAACGCCGTAATAAATTGGATGACATAACGTAAGAACGTCTTCCAGTTTTGTTTGCTTGGCTGCGTGTTCCCGTGCCGTATGAGTGTGACATTATTGAGAACAAAGCAAATCATTATATAAAACTGTTTGAAACTTTGTTCGCCAATGTGCAAACTACGATAACGAACGAATAAAGAACTTTAATTGAGATGTATTCTTCTACTCTAATAGCTAGGCGTTTACACAAATACATTTATTTATTCCTGTTAAAACCATGCAAATTTTATTTATTACTTAAATTCTCTAAATATCATCGATCGTTTCAGCAGTATTAAAAGTTAAAAATAGGAAACATGGTCAGTGGCAAAATTTCAGTTAATATATTTTGGGCAAAGGATTGGATAAAAACGAGTTTTGTCCACATCAGACTGCAAACATTTAACGGAGCAATACCGGTTCACTATGAGCAGCATTCTCCGTGTCACCAGAGCAAACTATCGCCATTCCGTCCACCTATCCCAATTAAGGCCGATTAAGTATACCGCGACCGTAGTTTCCTATTTTCACAGTAAACAGCTCGCGTTGCAGCAACCGATTATAGTTTACAAATATTTATGCTTGCAAACGTAAATCGCAACTAGCTCGGGTTTGGCTGACAAGGTTTACCATTCCAGGGACTATTATGCCGAATATCCTTTATTTCTTACGTTTTATTTGCGTTTGTTTATCAGTCGAGATAACATTCGCGGAATTTGCCACCGTAAAGTAGGCCTATCGGGATTTATAGATCTCGGATATCAGGTCAAGAGCACCGGATCGGTCGTAAATAGCAAAATAGTAGTCTAGTTTTCCTCACTTCGACGGGTAGATTTTCGATAAGTCGAAAAGCTCGAGGCAAGGCTGTCTCCATGTAAGTTCTATGGTCTCTGCAAATACGTTGCAAACAACAGTTATTTTTAGAACGAAGATTTTTTTTAAACGATTTCCCATTCTATCCACCAATCGTCCACCAAGCTCTTGTAATACCTTTTTTAAGGAATCACGAAAGTATGGGCATTGAAAATACAAGGAAAAATACAAACTCTGGAATCCACTGTTTCCTCGATTTTATTGGCAATTATAATTTTTTCATAAAATCACTTTGTGTCTGGTAAACACGGCTGTGGTACGTTTCAACCGCGATTTAATAGAGTATCCGTGACAATGATTGCTATTCCACGCGGATACTTTATAATTCTTTTTTTTTTTTCAAGATCACTCGTTCTTACGGATACTATAAATGATAGTATCATGCCAGTCGATCGAGACATTCTAGCTAACATCCGCGTCTACGATGAACGTCTCGATCCCATTGATTCTTGCGTTGTTGACGTCGTTGTGTGGTTGTCTCGGTGTGATTCGAACTCCCGTGA